AAAAAACAATAACGGATATTTAGAAAATTTTGAATTCAAGAATTTGTACCCAATCTCAAAATATACATTCTATTTAGTTTTATATAGATTTTTTTCTTTTTCATGATATTATTCATTAATCCTTGCAAATTTGAGTGTAATTAAAGCTAATTTTCTATATTTCATGTTTTTTTTTTAACAATTCTATATTTCATGTTTATAACTTATAAAACAGTTGTCCGGTCCGTGCCACGTCTACAAGGCCAAAAGATCTTTGCGTTCGTCAAGCTGCTCCTAACTCCTAAGCCTTAAGGGTAAGTAAACCAAGGCCTTCAAACAACAGAGACTACGAGAGGGTCATCACATTAATGTAAAAACCACTTTTCTCTGAAGCTGTTGTATCGTTCACACACAAGTTGTAATAGTAATCTTTTCACTTAATTCAACTCTAATGATAAACTCATAAAAAAAAGTTGATGTCTTTATCATAAGAACATCAACTCTTCATATTCTGTTTTATCTGAATAAAGAATTGTTAGATAATCATCGAAATAGCTTTCCTTTAAACTTGCACGAAAACGTAATTGTTGCAACATTACAGTATACCCTGATTGATATAGAACAATACAAAACGACTAGTGTCAAAACTAAGGAAGATGAAAGGAGTTCACCATTATGGTTTAAAGAAACCGCCTAAAACCGCTTTGCTTTCTTCTTCTTTGAAAAGCTTTCAGGGGTTCGGTTTTCTTGTTTACGCTTAGTCCCTGCAAATCGCTTTCCACCACTCTCTTTTGAACCTTTTGCGTTTGCTTTCGCCTTTCTTGCTGCAACCGCTGGCCGCTTCTGACTTCGCTGCTTCAAAGCACTGTTATTCCCAGCTTTTTTGTTGTCTTCATTGCTGCTACTTCCTCTAGGTCTCATCTTTGATTGTGCAGAGCTTTTTTGATATGGTTTCTTCTTATCATCACCGGATTTTGAAGCTCGCACACCTTGATATGATAGACTAGCTTTCCCCGTCGGAGTTGGTGTAACCACTTTGTCCTTTTGCAGTCTTTTCTGGGCCGGTGAGTAAGCTTCCGAAGGATTGCTCTTTCTCTTTGATGGAGTTGCATCAGGTTTGACTCGAGAAATCCGTAACTCTCTTTCTCTAAGCTTCAAATACCCTTTCTTGATTACGAGATTTGCAGCTTCCTGTAGTTAACAAAATAAAAGAACTCATCAGATCTAAATTGTTATCACTCTAACCTCAAAATGATCGAAGTTTACTTCAACATACCCGTGTCTTGAACAAGACGTAAGCTATTCCTTTTCCAATGTTCAAGTGCGGATCTCTAATAACACGAACAGCTTCTATAGTGTTCTCCAGATTACTCTTACCCGTAAACAGTTGATACACTTCCTCGTCCTGCATTAGAAACAAACAAAACTGAGAACCTGAGATTGTGTTTGACTATCGCAAATTGAAAGAAGATCCTTAAGACTAGTACAACTAACCTTCACATCGAAAGGGAGATTACCCATAAAGACTGTCCTCTTAGGATCATACAAATGAGCATCATCCTGACCTTTCTGTTTCTTACGAGGAGGACATGCTCTATCAACACGGACATGATTCCCAGCAATCTGAATATATCATAAGAACATTAACCAATCTACACATAACTCCTTAGACTCAACCACGGAGAACAAAAGGCGAAAAATGTTATATTACCAGAGACATGTTATGTGCCAGAGAAGCTTCCGCAGATTGCTCTGTCTCAAACACAACATAGGCATGAACACTGCAATTCCAAAGAAGATCAACATTAGAATTCTCTTCACTCAAACTTCAAAATCAAAATTGCAATATATGGTTCCAAACACAGACCTTGAAGCTTTCTCATTGATTTGTTTCAGCATTATAGCTCCTTTCCTCGTCCTCTTCGACTAATCAATCAAAAAAATCAAAATCAGAAACCATTAAACACTAAAACTCAACCTAAAGTGCTCATCTTTAAGCTATACGAAACTCACATCGACAATGGGGACAGAGCGTATCCTCACAGATTCAACCACACCAAATTTACTAAATTCCTTCAAGATGACCTTTTTCTTAACCTTCAATGGCAAATTCCCAACGAAAACAGTTCTAAGAAGCTTACTCTCATCATCAAACCCTTCTTTCGAAACCATCGTATCAGCAACTTCATCAGCTTTCTTCCTCTTCTCACCAACCTTCTTCTCCTTCTTCACCTCAACGCTTCCATACTTCTTCGTCTCGTATTCGTTCTCAATCTCATCTCTCTTCCTTTTCTTCCTCTTTGAAACCAAACCACTCCCCTCAATAACCTCCGAATTCGTCTCTTTCTCATCAACACCATCGTCCCCAGAATCTGGAGATTTCGATATCTTCTCCTTTTTAGATTTCTTCGTCTTCTTCACAGGCAAAACCGTTTCTTCTTCTTCATCGTCCCCCCCATTTCGTTTATCCCCGTTCTTCTCATCGGGAGTTGACGACTCTTTGATTTCCGAAGGTTTTTTCCGCCGGAAAGGGTTATCGTCGGAGAAAAGACTCGAAAAGCCAGAGCTTTCTCCTTCAGCCGCAGCGCCGGAGAAGAGGGTCGAGAAGATACCTGATTGAGTTTGAGATTCCGTCTCCGTTTCCTTCGATTTCTTCTTCCCCATCGTCGTTCGATTTCAATGAGACAAGAGGAAGAAAGAGAGAGAGAGAGAGATTGACGAAACCCTAAAGTTTAGACCTTTGTTTCTGTTTAACCAGAAGAAGAGCGCCATTGATTGACTTAAACCGGGTCGGGTTTAAATGATCCGAATCAGCCCCTTAGTTATTGGGCTAATAAATACACAGTGTTGGGCTTTAATCACTTTTAGGCTTCGCAATTATGTTCAATCTCATCATTCTATACACCATTACTCCAATGCAAATTTGCAATTAAACATGGACTAAGAAGATAATATATTTATTTTATTAAGAATTTTTAATTTTAGGAATTGGAGATAACAAATGATACAGTTAGAACACTAAAGAGATGTTCAATTCAATTCATTGTTTGTGGATGATGATGATGATGATAGTCCTCTAATGCAACAACAAGTTAGACCCTTTTTAGTTTTTTCGCAATCTCCTCCAAAGTAAAACCCTTTATCTATGCAATCTTGCTGACACTTGCCTGGATATGTACATTTTCCGATTCCAAATTTACAAATCGCATTCGCCTCCCCTAAGCAAAGTCATCAACCAATTTCAATTAGAGGAAAATATATCGAACGATCATGAATTTTCATTCATATCTAATACATAGTTTATACCTGAAAAGAAGAGCACCAAAATGATCAAAACTGAAGCAAAAACACAAGAAGATCTTCTACTCTCCATTTTATATTAAGTCAAGAATATCTCACCTGTGAATTGTGATGTTTTGTTTTGATTTTTGAAACTATATATAATAACAAGATTAGTTTCAAACTTAGAAAATATGGATACATATGTTATAAATTTCTTTGAAAAAGTTGAACACCAAAGGATAGCAAGAAACGTATTGTCTTGTCCCACGAACCTACTCAATTTGGTAGATAAGTGAATTTAGGACATGAAACTGTAAAATTCCCTGCAAATTGCACATATATACTGGTCAAACGAGTCTTTGACTAGATCTTTGACCTCACTTTGTGACCATATATAACCTTCATAAGTATATATTATATAAATAGTCAACTTATTGGTAGGCAAGTAGCAGTGCATACTTGAAAACACACGCACACCGGAAAATCAGAAACAATACATGATCCAGTTTGAAACAACTGATCCAAATTTTCAGGAGGATCCAAACTTTCTTTTAGTAAACACAAAGCATTCGAGAGTAGTCATAATGTCGCTAGCGCATGTTCTACACCCGAATACCCGAACGAAAACCCATCTAGGAGGCTCAAGCATCATGTATGTGCCCATATTAGTGTTTTGTATATATGCGCACTTGATAGTTTCTTTTATTGTGGATATATGATGGTGAAACATCACAGCTAGCTCACGCGAATAGACGTATAGTGTTTCAATCTCAGGTTCATAATCTTGTACTCCTTGGTTGTATTCCTTGGACATTGTGTGAAGACAACGTTCCTCTTGATTCACTTGTCATTCTGTACTAGGTAACTGTGTTTCCACAACCATCAAAGTGACTAGAAATTGTTATGTAATCCCACATTGTCTTAACATGACATAGCTTCTGATCGTGTAGTGCTTTGAGGATGTTTTCTCCTTGTTAGAGCCATTGGATTAATTAGCCCATAATTGATGAGGTTTCTCCTCTCAATAGTCCATACATCTTTTCTTATTTTTCTTAAAAACAATTAGGGAGCTAAATGTGATAGCTTTAGAAAATTGATATATATATTGCTTAAAATTAAACTTGCACATCCAAAAATCCAAAGTTACTACAACGACTCTTGGTCATAAATTTATTACTTCTCTAGTGAAAATTTCAGAGAAAGAAAAAATCAATCCATCATTATCATAATCACAATCATCATAACTTCCTCGCCGTCATACTATATATCATGCCCCTCCTGATATCATCATTCTCATTTTTCGGTATAATATTATTACATACAGTAAGTTCTAAAATAACATAATAAGACTATGAGGATTATGAGTTAATATTTGGAGTTTGGGGATTATCATAGATCCTTGCTTTGTAACTTTGTAAGTGTTCTTAATGCTAAAGTACGTAGTATAGTCTTACTTAACTCATAATCAAGGATCTTTTTGTGTGCTACAAATCAACTATAATTAAGGAGAAATAAGTAAATTAAAAATAGCCAAAGAAGATATGATTTTAATTTTAATTTCCTTAAAACAAAATGAATGAAAAATATTAGTATAATATTAGGGAGGTACCCACAATTATTTAAATTTTAAAAATATAAAACCTTAGGATATACTTACATTATAGTAGCCAGTTCTTTTGTGGCTACTTACATAAATTTCATATAAATTAAGAAAGATGGGAAAAAAACATATAAAAACCTTAACTTATTTTGGATATCAACATATCCCTAAGCTGTTCTTGCTCGTAGATTCTCAATCCCATCTTCACAGTCGCTTGTTGTATCATAAGATCGTTCATCACAGAAATGCTGGTATGGTTCACTTCTAACTCCAAATCCATCAAAGCATTCATGAATCTTGCTCCTGGATGGTTTCTCTTACCGGACTCCACTCTAATCATCACATCACTTCCCATAACCTTCACTTCCATCTTCAACTCCGACAATTTTTTCTCCTTGTCCTTACAAACGCTAGAAGAAGTCGCGTTTTGTAGTTCCATTACCTTCTTAAGCTCCTTGAGCTGAATCTCAACCGCGGTTTTCCCCGACTCCGAGTTTTCGGCTTTTGATTTCAGCTCGTTTATGTAACGAACCGCGTCTTCGAGCAAGGATGTTTTGTCCATCTTCGATACGTTTGGTACAACCGCTCGTAACGCGTAGAAACGATTGTTTAGCTTCTCGCGTCTCATCCTCTCTGCTTCCACGTGGTTCAACGGCTTCTCTCTACCATGATTTGGCTTTCTCCCTCGCTTTTTCCCCGGTTTTTTTTCCGGTATAACCGTCGCATTGATCCGGTTAAACTCTTCTCCGGAGATATTCATCTGAATCGGTTGGTAAACCGGACTAGGGTTCGTGTTTGGGTTGTGGATCCTTGAACGAAACTGAGTTGAAGTCGGGGCTCCGGATAAATCTTTGGATCCTTCGAAATGAAACAAGAACCGGATCTTATTAAAAAGATCCGAGTTGTGTCGGATAAGCTCCGTGGATCCAAGCTCCAACACTCCGTTATCCAAAGGAATACATACAATGGTTTGTAACCCTAAACCCCCTCCTTGTTTAGCCCGATCACAACCCGACCCGTAAATCTGATCCAAACCCGTAACCCAAACCGGGTTACACGTATCAAACGCCTTACCCGCTAACCCGGATCCGTTACAAGAACTCCACGTCATTGAAACCAAGTAATACCACTCCGTATCAGTCACTTCAACATCGTCGTCATCATCATCGTTGACATCGTCTACTTCAACCAACGGAAAAGGTTCGCCGGAGATCATCGAGTTAAGCTCCCGGAGAACCTTACTCCGACGCTCTTTCCCCTCCGGAGACGACGGAACCGTCTTCTTCTTCCTCCTCCTCATCCTACGTCCATTCTTCTCCTCGTCGCCGCCATTGTAAACTCCGTCTCCCCATTTGAGAACTGAGTCTCCGGAAAGGAGATTGTACGACGGTTTCCAGAAAACAGCGTAAGTCCAAAGCACGTGAGTACCATTCAACACATTATGTAAACGCTTCTGGAGAGTGGTCTCGAGGCTAAGGTTGTTCGCCGGAGGTAAAGGTGGTGGAGGCCATACGTCGGAGGTCAAGAGAGCTTCGATCATTGATAAGTTCTCGTCGTTGTTCATTGCTGCCGGAATAGTAGAACTCGTTCGACGCAAAGTCATTTATTTATATCAAAGACAGAACTAAAGCGAGAAGAGAGTGAACTCTTTTGTTTTGTGTTCGTTCACACGCGTGCATGAAAATTACTAAAGAAATATGGTTTTCATAATTTTTTTTACTGACTCATATGCGATAGACGATGGTTCACCAGGTGCAAAGGACCACACTGATTTAAACTTGTACGTCGTGTATAACGCAATAATTTATTTAAAATTTTTGTATAAGCCCTAAAACTGTAATGCAAAACCTAAAACAAGACAAAACTAAACGAAATGGGAATAGTCTAAGACCACCCTTAATGGTAACCTCTACAAGCCTTAAACTGTATTGTTAATTAACATCCATAAATTTATGTAGGTAAATCAACTAAAATGCATCAATCAATAAAGGCCCATTTCTTTACTTTTAAAAGTAAGTAAAGGTTCTTTGTTCAAAAAAAAAAGTAAGTAAAGGTTCTTTATTTTATTTATAACTTTATAAGAGATTCGGAAACTCTCATTGATTTTTAAACTAGATGTAAATAAGATAGTTTACCTTCGGATATGGATCATTTATATTTTCACTTTAAAATATATTAATTGATGTGTGGATTTTGAAATTTATAAATTATTAAATGAAAACATTTGATTTTAACTAATATTTAGAAATCATTGAATCAACAATAAATAGTTTATGATTCAAGAATTCTAATCTAGAATTTTAAAACATGATTTACATTGGAATTTTAAATCGTAGAAATTTATGAATAAAGAAACTGTAATGCAAATCATATGAAAGTTATCATTTTGTTAATATACAAAGAAACTCTTAGCTATCTTTTAAATTACAGATTTTCTCCTAATTTTACTCAACGCCAATAGTGTGAGAAGAGTTAAGAAACTATCTATGTAAACTCCAGGAAAAAAATTATGGGTTTTTGTGCAAATTTAGGAGGGGTATTGAATAAAGGATTTAGAAAGAATTCAAACCAAAAAAATATTAAAAGATTTTTAAACATCTATATTAACATTTTTGAAGTACCTTTTGGAAAGTAACTTTTTATTTTGTATTATTTGCAATCATAACCCTTGCCATTTAAATAAATAACAAACTTTTAAGAAAAAATTTGTAATTAATTTACACCAGAATCACAAAATTAGAAACTAATATCTATATTAACATTTTTGAAGTACCTTTTGGAAAGTAACCTTTTATTTTGTATTATTTGCAATCATAACCCTTGCCATTTAAATAAATAACAAACTTTTAAGAAAAAAATTTGTAATTAAATTACACCAGAATCACAAAATTAGAAACTAATATTTATTACATTTAACAAAATTTCCTAAAATGTCTCCCTAATAAATTGAATATCTCTCCAATATCTTTATATGATCTTATTTGTTTTAAAATTTACATTATTACATAAAACATAAGTATAATAAAAATACAAAAAAAAATTCGAATATGTAGCAATTTGAATTTTTGAAAACGGACGTATATTACTCAATCGATAAAAAAGAAAACATATATGTATAACGTCCCACATCGGGTATAAAATTTTAGACAATGGTTCGGAACCACTATAAATATGACAAATATGAAACTTAAAATTCTAAAATATTGAATGGAATATTACAACAAAAACTTTTTTACTAAATTTTAGAGAATCCAAAATTTTAAAATTAAAATCTTGATTGGTTAAAAATGAGTTTTTGGAAAACAAAAACCAAAATCTCTCTCGAAATCTGTAAAACATTCAAGGTTTATATTTTAAACTAAATATGATTTAACGGGTTTGAGTTTTATGTTTTTCTTACAGGTTATCTTACGGGTTAACAAAACAGAAAAATAACAAATATAACTTAAACATAATTTTTTTAGTCCTGCGAGTTACAAAAAAATATCCCGCGAGTTAAGTAATAAAAATGTAACTAGGTTCGGACCCGCAGACAGCGCGGGGGAAATAATTACATATACATCACTTTTAATAGATTCGAATATATTACATTTTAATTTTATTGCAATGCAGTCGATTATTGTGTAAAATTTTTAAATAAAATAATAAACGAAAAGCGAGTAAATAATAATACATTGAGTTTTGATACAACTAAAAAACAGTGAAAATTTAACAGCACGAAATAATATTTATTGACAAATTATTCAATTTGATCATTTTTGTAGTAAAAGTAGGAATATATGTAAAAATTACATACTTACAATATATTTTTTGAAAGACCAACCCGTAACAGAATTCATTTTTTAAAAAACATTATCTATAACTCGCTTTACCATTATAATTGTGATTTTAACAAACTACCCGCAAACTGTATCTACAATTTACATAGTTTGATATATAATATATTTTATCAATAAAAATTATGTCTCCAAAATTACATCTCTGTCTCCAAAAAAATATTTTTAGTATTTTAAAGTCTAAATTTTTTTTTTATATTTGAACCTTTTAATCATAATATTTTAAAACTTTTGAAACTTTTAAATATTGTCATGTAACAATGGTTTTAATATTGGTCATACTTATACTGATTTTAAATCATTGTCCAAAATATTTAACGGAGTGTAGTTGAGTATTATATGTCCGTTATGAAAATTTCAAATTGCAACATATGCAAAAAAAAAAAAATTTATTAAGTTTTTTTAATATATAGTATAATATCATAAATTAAAAACAATATCAAATAAAAGTTAAAGAAGAATAATTATTGATTATTAGAGATTTATTAGGAAATCATAAAATTAGTTATGGAAATAATATAATTTAAAAATTAGGTATGGAAAGTATCCGATGTATGTATCCAAATCCAATTTAATATCCAATTTTGAAGTATCCAATTGTTAAAATCGGGTTAATTTTTTAATTTTGATCCGACCCATCTTCTATTTTGTACTTCTCTTTTACTAATATAGGGATTACACAATCTTAAACACTAAAAAGGTAATAAAATTAACAAACATAACTTAAATATATATATTTTTAGTCAAAACAATCGTCACGCGGTGTACCGCGGGTTAAAACCTAGTTTTAAAAGAAAATTATGAATTCTATATTTGGAGAGGGGAGAGGCTCGGAATTGAATCTTCACATTTGTAAGGGAAATTTCCGCGATTCATTTAAAAACCTTGTAAATATTTCTAAAACCCTTAAAAATCGTTTAAAAATCTTTGTAAATCTTTTAAAAGTCATCTAAAACCTTTCAAAACTTTAGTGAACCTTTTAAGACCTTTGTAAATCATTTTATAACATTTATAAACACTTGTAAATCCTTTTAAACCCCTTATAACCATAGTAAATCCTTTAATAATTTTTTTTGTAAACTTCTAAAACCTCTTGTAAATCATTAACAACCATTTTAAAGTCCTTGTAAATACCTTTAAAAATCCTTGTAAATCATTTTAAAACTATTTTTAAATCCTTGTAAATGCTTTTAAAACACTTGTAAATCCTTTTAAAAATTTTTGTAAATTTTTAAATGATTGAATCACTTTCCAATGATTGAATGTATTAAATATATTCTATTATATTTACATTTAAAACAAAATTATAAAAATCAACTTTCCATGAATATTTATGTTTTACAAATGTACGGAAGTATATAATAACGAATATACTGATATTCAGATTATTGTCTTGATCATAACTATGTAATTAAAAAAAATGACGTCAAAAAGAAAAATATGTACTTAAAAATTAATCTGAATTACTGGTTATACCTATTTTTCATCTCGTCATTATTTTAATTTTACAAAGAAAAGTGACCAGATACAGTAACGTACTAACGTTGTCGTTTTCTAATTATTAATTTGAGATATTTTATAACAACGGTGCCTTCTCTTCTCTTCTCTTCTCTTACTGTGTTACACTACTTCCAACCACTTGTCTAGCTATGTTTTAAAGGCAATTGCAATTGAACTTTATTATTTCCGACAATGATATAAATAACATTTTTACAGTTTTGTTGTCGACGGCTTATAGAAACAACCGACGTTAATAAAAAAATTCGTGAGACAGAAATAGAAATAGTAGGTCTAGATGCTCAACTTATGGTGATGTTCGTTTCATAATCGTGCAACTAATCGCAACTAAAATAGTCGCGTCGCGGTTTTTTTTTGCGATAAAAAATTTCAGTCGTTGAATTTTTGCGATTGATCGCAGCGACTAATCACATGATCCTATGATTATAAAACGAACAACTTTCAGTCGTAACTGCAAGTTCCTGCGACTGCCAAACGAACAACACCGTTTATCTGATTCCGTTCAAACGCACGATGATGCAAGAAGAGCTCAGACCGATCGAGTATGCTGCAGCGATACGTAGACCAGTCACTATCGACACCTCTTTTTCTCCAACAACACTTTCGCCAGCATTGTTTTGCCACGTCGTTGCGGCTGTTGCAACCACAAGTAAAAGGACTGGTCTAAATGTTAGACTGTGTTTAATGGAGACACCTGACACGTCAACTTCAGCACTCTTGACTCATATAACTCCAACGATGTCGTCATAAATCATAAGCTAGATAATAAACCCAACATCTGTTTGTGGGATGTGTGATAGACTGATAAGTTGTAGGATTTAACAAAATTTATTATATTATATATCAAGTTATATGCTAGCGTGCAAGGATAGTTTTGGCTATATAGTATAGTGATAATCTTAACTCTTAAAATAGTTAATAATGATAATCTTAACTCTTAAATGTATACAGCATAGTATGACAGTGTGAAATCTCTTTTGTGGTGGAAAATTATGACATTTTTGTTGAGATAATTAAAGAATTGTGTTCGCATACAAAATCACGTTTTGACTAGAAAAATTCAATATCCTTTTTTATTATTACTATTTCAAAATCATAATTAATCAACTAAAATACATTAAAAGAAACTAATATTACCAATGCTTTTGCGTACAAACCAAACATGCATTACACTTAAATCACATTATACAATTCATACTCATATATTGTGTGTTTTTTTCGGTTTTAAATCTTTCATTTTATAATTTTTATTGAGTCAAAGTGTGTTTTAGAGTCTTTTAGTCCATTGTAGAGTCTTAACAAGTTTTAGGTTGCTTTGAAATTAAACGAGTTGTTTTGGGATGCAAACATACATTTGGAGATGCAGATTCATGTAGAAGTATCAGATGTTTAGGATCAGTTGGACAACTTTCCACCGTTAGATCTCATACCCTAGCTAGTACGTTACCTTCACAATAATCGAGTTAGGGCTAACGAAAAGTCCCCCAATAATTGCAGCTGCCAATTCAAATCCATTCTCAACTGTCTTTGTTACTATCATCAATAAATATATAAATTCAATATATCTTCCAATTCAAATCCTAAGGTTTCAATATTTGTTGCTAATAATGTATATGGTTGGTCATTGAGGCCTCGAGGGGACCATGAAGTTAACAAAATGCATGTTCCGAAGCGTTGTGCAAGTTTTAAAATTGAATTCACATTAACTGATCCCTTTATTATGACACAATCAGTATAAGAATTTTTTTCCAAATAATAGTAGGAAAGATAAAATCTACTACTCCATCCGTTCCATTTTAAGTGATGTTTTAGCTTTAAAAAGTTGTTTCATTTTAATTAATGTTTTCAACTTTCTATCTAAATATTAATGTATTTAATAAATTTTAACCAATCATATTATACATCATATTTTTTCATTGGTTGAATTCATTATATTTAATGGAATGTTTATAGAAAAAAAAATTATATGTTTTCTTTATCGGTGTGTAACAAGCTTAAACATCACTTAAAAATGAAACTGATAGAGTATTTGTAAAAAAAGAGTTTTAGAGATGTTTGTTCATCAGCCTATATTACTCAATATTTTAACGATAATAAGAAGTTATCTAAACAACATTGGAATATAATATAAACTAAAGCAATCAGAGAATAAACTCGGTAATTTTATATATGAATTGTATATGATGTTTATTAAATCAAAGAGAAGTAACAAAACAAGAAAGAAAGATCACTCACAGTAACCACCAGGTCCACCGAAGGTAAACATTTGTCCATACTTGCCAGGATCTTGAATAATCACATCGTAACATCTACCTACGTCCGCATCTTCGACGAACTTGACGGTATCAATGTCGACACTTATATAATCTTGTGTCACATGTCTAACAGAGTGCATATAGCAAGTATGGCTTAGACCAACTTCTTCATCCAGAGGTTTTCTCCCATTACCCATCGGTGGGCTAACAACATCCCATGGATGCATGTTTTCGGACGGAGTATACGTGAATCCGCCATATACTACCTCCTTCGCTCCATTCTCCAAATACGGTAGAATTTCCCCTGGCCAATACCCTATGTATGTCTTCATGTATGACACCAACAAGTTGTTCGTTTTCCGATCCTACATTGTATAAAAGTTTTTTGGTAAACTATACAACAAGATGAAGTTGAATCATAGTATATATCAAACCGAAGAAGATTGTTTTTTTAAAAAAAAACTCAATTTTAACGTATTTTGGTATACTTATACCTGATGGAGTGCAAAGAAACCTTTATATTGTTTGCCTCCCACCACAGAGGTGCGCTGAAAACTGGCACCAAGATAGAGTTTCCTGTCAACTTGAACGAAGCCCTTACACTGTACATTGTAACATCCGTTGTCCATCGCATCCGGCTGCAATGATATACAATTCGCGGTTAAAGAAGAGACATTCGTATAGCTACTATATATGAAGAAAAAAAAAAAACCAACTTCATTGTAATAAAGATAGTGACATTGTTACTCACAGTCCAATATGCAGTAAGTCTTGAACGGTGATCGCCATATAATGGAGGGTTCACCTTAAGATTCATAAAAATTCATAAAAATTTTAAAAGTATATATATGTTAGTAAACAATTTTAAATCAATATCGAATCAACTAATTGATTTAGCAATAATTTGATCTAATATATAACGAGATATTAAAATTCTTACAGCCCAACCAATCTGCGCGCTGGTGCGTTCGCCTTCGTCACCATAATTAGTGTGGAGCTCAATTATAGTCATGCTGAATTGGTCTTTTGTCACTTTAGGCTCGTAAATACTAACCCATGCTGATGCTCCACGCGACGGGCTGGGATCATGTTTCCTGACTATCGCAGCCTGTATATATATTCGATATGTTATAAATATACACATCAAATGGTTAATTAGGATCATATATTAACAGTAAATGTAATAAAGTTTAGCCACTTCACATGTTCACCAAGAGTTCCATAGTTAGAATAGAAATGTTTCTCCGTGTTGTTGAAGAGATTTCTTGGTTTATGGATCGGTACTTGTCCTTGAGGACATCCTTCTCCTGGTATATCAAACTCAGCAACGGCTTCATTGTTTGATAACTCTTCTTCTAGTGATGCATCTTTCGATATCATGGCTAAGACTTCGTTGCTTGGTCTCACCTATGCGATCACATGCAACAAACAAGATATAATTAAATAGAGATAATTACGTTACAAGACCATGAAATTTAAAATAAATAGAGATATAGTACTTGGATTTTATGATTTTTGAGTAGAGGGTGTTGTAGCGAAGGTTGTTTGTACATATCAACGCATTCGTATTCGAGTTCTTGAGGCTGCAACAAATATATGAGAATTTTACAACTTTGTTTGTATTATATATTCACATTTCTATCAAAGTGCTTACCAAAATTGTGACATATACGTACCTTAGTATTCTCAGACCGTCCATGGAGGCAAAGTAGTGCAAAAGAGAATATCAACAACCAAGGAGAAGCCATTTGCTCTTGATAATAATTTCTGCAACTGAAGTCAATGTTCCTTATATATATAGATGTAATATATGAGTAATTTTCATTAGATTTAGAGAAATATATTAATTTCTAGATTGGTAATATAATTAATCTTGTACTAATAACTTTGCCAAAATTGAACTTCCTAGTCAATTTTACACTCTGTTGAATTGACCTCTTAAAGATAATTTTTGGTATTATAATTTTGACTTAAAATATTTTCAAAATTCATTAATTGTGTTATAAATCTCATTGGATATACTATAATGAAATTTCCAATCTTAAAGTTTCATAATTATTTTGTTGACAAATTATTTTTATTTTTAGTCAAAATTCTTTAGAATATTTAGATCTTTGTAAATTTTTACTACTAAAATCATTTTTTGTTTGTCTAACAAAAATCTAGACTTCATTTTTTTTTTTTTTGGTCAATTATTAAATTTTTTTTTGTTAACCTTGTAAAAATTACAAGAACACAAAGACAATGAGAAAACGAAGCTTTCTCCATCTCTAAACTTCACCAATTTCGATTGGGTTTAGGCCTTATCCAGAACTAGACGGCCCATCTTTACACATAGAAGAACCCGATCAGTATCAAACCAGCTTAATCCCTAAAACCAAAGACTTAACCGAATTGAATCCTAAACCATCTGAAACCTCAACATACCGAACCGAGATTAGGCTAATCGAAGTAGCCCAATTTGACATGTTTTATCGAGACGAAACTGAAACTGATCTTCATATCTCACCAACCACTTAAACAAAAACCCTTTTTTTTCTTTCTAAAAGAAATTTAAAGAGACACAAAACAAAAGAAAAACTTGTGTTTCTGCAAAGCTCCATCCTTTGTGGCGTTGAGAGCCATTGGGGAGTGAATAAAAGTTAAAACTTTTGCGTCCACTTGAAACCTCTTTTTTTTTTTTTTTTTTATCTTTTTGGATTTTATCTGATCGATCACTCATTTGTGTCTCTGATTCTCTCTATCCCGTTGATTCGTATCTGGATTTGTTTATTTTTTTTTCATTTTTATTCGAGCGGCTTACCTTTCTCGGATCCATTTTCATATCGATTTGGTAAGCAAATCTTCTGATTGCTTTTTGTGCGTTTCGATCTGATTTCACCTCATTGTCCATTAGTCTTCTTCTGGGGGATTCAAAGTTTCAATCTTTTTTGTTTGTTTAGCTTTCTCTCATTGTCTTCTGAATCCTCTGCTTTTGGGATTTGATTGGATTGCATTTTTCATTAGTGTTCTTGAGGATCACAAAGATTCCTACTTCTCGGTTTGTTTATACTTTCTGATAACACCAAACTTGTTTTAAGTTGTTCAAGTCACAAAGCAACGTTCAAGTTGGTTAATGAGAGTGAGGGATTTGGTTGTTTTAAGGGGTTAGGTTCTCTTCATCAACATACGTAGTGAGTTTGGTTGGTTTATCAAAAGAAGTGGTTTAGGTTAGGTCACTAGTTAAATGTGAATGTCTGAATGATTACAAAAGTTTATATTTTGGTTGTTTCTGAGAATTTTGGTTGATATAAGTGGTTTGTCAGAACTTATATTTTCATTAACAAAAAAAAGTTTTGATTTTGGTTGATTCTGAGAAATTTGGTTGATTTGTGTGTTTTTATAGAAATGGCGGATGTGGCAAAGGATTTAGCTTCAGGGACTGTTGGAGGAGCAGCTCAGATAATTGTAGGTCATCCGTTTGACACAATCAAGGTCAAACTTCAGAGCCAACCGACTCCAGCACCAGGCCAGACTCCTAGGTACAGCGGTGCAATCGATGCGGTTAAACAGACCGTTGCTGCTGAAGGACCTAAAGGTTTGTACAAAGGAATGGGAGCTCCTTTGGCTACCGTTGCTGCCTTGAATGCGGTTTTGTTCACTGTGAGAGGGCAAATGGAAGGGCTGTTTAGGTCTGAAGCTGGAGTTCCTTTGACCATTAGTCAACAGTTTGTGTGCGGTGCAGGCGCTGGTGTCGCTGTTTCGTTCCTTGCTTGTCCTACCGAGTTGATCAAGTGCAGGTTAGATTCTTTTTGACATATTACATATCAGAGCCTGTTCTGTACACTGCATTTTGTGGATATGCAGACTTAAATTTTAGTTAACATTTGAACAATATAGAGACTAATCTTAGTGCAAAGAAACTAAAGATTTGAGTTTTGTTGTCTGCTTGTAATTTTACTGCTTATAAAAACTGAAACAGAACTAATGTATCTTTGTATGTGTGTGTTCAATCTTGTTTCACCATTAGGTTGCAAGCACAAGGTGGACTAGCCGGCACCTCTACCACAGGCTCAGTGGTTGCAGCTATGAAATACGGTGGACCAATGGATGTAGCACGTCATGTCCTACGATCTGAAGGTGGAGCACGAGGTCTATTCAAAGGTTTAGTACCAACATTCGCCCGTGAAATCCCGGGAAATGCAACTATGTTTGCAGCCTACGAAGGTTTCAAGCGGTTTTTAGCTGGTGGTTCAGACACTTCAAGCTTAGGACAAGGGTCATTGATCATGGCAGGTGGAGTCGCTGGTGCGTCTTTTTGGGGGATTGTATATCCAACAGATGTGGTGAAGAGTGTTCTTCAAGTCGACGATTACAAGAACCCGAAATACTCGGGGTCGATGGATGCTTTCCGAAAGATACTGAAATCTGAAGGAGTTAAAGGTTTGTATAAAGGATTTGGTCCAGCCATGGCTAGGAGTGTTCCTGCTAATGCTGCTTGCTTCTTGGCTTATGAGATGACAAGGTCAAGCTTGGGATAAACCGGTTGGTCCGGTTGGTGGATGTTCCATTGAGATTAACCCTTTCGGTTTTTAGATGATTCTTCTAAAATTTCAGCAAAAATTATGTAAACCCTCACACAGTTTATTTCTATATCTCTTACACAGTTTATTTCTGACACTCGGATTAGGACCAATTCAACAGAATAAAATACATTCTGACCAAACTAAAACTAAAACTTGGATTAAGGGTTTGTTAAAGGGTTGAATCTTTCAAAACTAAGAAAATATCACAATTTTATTTTATATTGTGAGGTTAACAATGTAACATCTATGTTAGAGTTTACAGTTTATGGGGTTTAGTTTATAATTTGTAATTTTAGGATTTATGTTTTTGGTTTATAAACATAAAGTAGTCAAAACGAACCGGTTTAACACAAGCTTGACCTTGTCATCTCACAAGCCAAGAAGCAAGCAGCATTAGCAGGAACTCTCAACCACTATAACTATTTATCGTCTTACATTTTTATAATTATTTACGTAATTATTTTTCCACTATAAAAACCAAAAAAAGAGCGAATTATCACAAGTTAGAGAAACAATAATCACAAGTCTTATGGAGACGATTGAGCAACAAAGACATTCACTCTCTTCTTTGCCTATGCTCTCTAGGCTTGAACACTTAGATTTCGTTGTAAATTGATTCTTTACTTACCATTGGCTTCTTCTAAGTTAAGAAAAACATAGTTTACTAGTTTGATGAATTTACTTACTAAGTGTTTCTTTTCTTCTTCTTATGTTAGATCAAGAATCTAGAGAGACAACAAAACCTTTCGAAATGGAAAGACGAAAGCGCGGCTACCACACGCGGAGTAATCGATAGAGGCACGGCGATCAGAGAAGCTTATTTCAAAGGATCGTTACTAGATCGAATCGCGGCTTTGGAGACCAGACTTTTTCAGGTATAGTTTTGATCATTTTCTTCTGACAAAAGCTTCTCTTTAAAGTGATTGTAATGTTTTAAAGGTTTTTGTATATAGTCATTTTTTTCATAATTTGTATAATGTTTTGTTAAAGATATGTTTGGAGTTGGAATCGAGCAGTGCATCATCTACTTCAACTGGAGGGTCTGGTGAAACATCAAGCCAAAGGATTAAGAAAGATTTGACAAAGACATTACCAATTTTCAGTAGCAACGTTAACCCTTTTCATGTTCCCTTACAACATCCACAAGACCCTCGGGTATGTATTTGTTGTTGTTGTGTATTTATAGACAAGACCAGTCAAATATTGTTAGATCGTCTTGACTAAGCAAGTAATAAGAAAAACTACAATATTATCTAAGATATTAACAAACTATCTTTGTCATTATTTTCTTGAACCTATGGCTAACTAAAAATATGTTTTAGTCATCCTAGTTACTTTCATAATTCTGATTAGATATGTTATTGTGATATGAAGGAGATGGAGGAGAAGATTGAAGAAGAGAAAGAGGAAGAGATAAACATAGAGAAGCCATTACTGGAGAAGAAGGTTAAGAAGAATCATGCTAATGAAACTTGCAAACCAAACAAGAAGACGAAGAAGAAGAAGACAAAATCTCCCAAGAAATGGTGTCGTTTTAGCTTGTTGGGCTGCTAATTTTGATGTTTCTCTAAAACTTTCTTGGACTATGCTTTTATTTCGTATTTGCTTAAAATCTAATATATTTTTTTTGTTTCTTGGACCATCAAAACTTTAGGATTAATTATCTATTTTTGCTTTAAACATCGTTTTTTAAATACTTTTGTGTATATAGATGACTAAATAGTAGCTAAAATTCAACAAATTAACCTATGTTTAATAACCTATGGTTGAAAGAGAAACACAAAATATATATGCTCATCTATATATTGTAAATTCAAACTTCAAAGCAATGTAGCCAAAATTGTACTACATCATGAGGTAAGAAAAAAAAGATAGTTATCATATTAACTTTTAGGATGTACAATAAAGCAACTACCCTCCAAAAAAAATAATACAAATGTGTGGATGTAGATATGTGTATAACTGTATATTCCACTACTTTATTTTTATTTTTCACATGTATATTCCTTTTAAACTAATTGATCAGTGGATTCTTAAGAAAATATTATATTAAAAAAATCTTTCAAGCAAGGTTTTAAGAATAAAAAAATTCGCAATGATCAGAATCAATATTATTCCACCAAATGGCTCTTTTTGATACTTTTATTACCACTATAATGCTAAAAGAATATATAGCAATCTATTATATATGAATTATTTTATAACTTTAACTTTAGGAAAAAGGTAAAATGTTTATAATTTTATCATATGACAGTATGTGTTATCAGTTGGATTTCCTTGTCTACCAAAATACTAATTCTTATTTTGATTTAAGATTTTTTATACATGAAGTTAATTTAGTGTAGTTTTTATAGAGAAATCTGAATTCTTATAGTGATTTGTCAAAAGATTAATATTGTTCTACACTCTGGATATTTAACACTAAATCCATATCCATATATGCTTTAAAAATGAAATAAGTCAACTCTTTATAAACTCATAGAAAAGATGTCTAATCTTCTAAGTTGTTTAGAATATTCGTACGATTTTAAAATTGTTGATTCATTTGTTAATTATTTACCAAAAAAAAAAAAAAATATGACATAGAACTTCGATGAAAATAATATTTAAGTTAAAATTTATGATTAGTAACGCCAAAAGAAAGAAAAAAAAAAAAACATGTGGAAACTTCTCTTATGGTTATAATTTGTCATCACCTTTTTCTTGTTAATCTATTATCTTTGTAACAAAAGAATATTTTGTAAAATAAAATACTTACCGTAATAATCCTAGTATTATACATAAGTTTAATTCAAAAAAAAAAGGTCTGAGATAAATAAAAAAATAAAAAAGGGATCGCCCATGACACGAAGGCTTCGTACCCACAATTTAACTATCACTATTCTCTAAAACAAGTAATAATATGGAAATTTATTTTGTAGTGTTATTTTGGTTTTATAAGTTGAAATCAAATTTAAATTTAGCTTCTAGAGAAATTGGGAGTTATTATAATGTACTAATAGCTTTACGAACAAAGGCTAATGGTTAACATTCGTATAATTTAAATGATTCTACATTTGAGCATATAATAACATTTTCAACGGTTGTCAAAACAAAATATTTCAACGCCCCTTTACATTACATTTTCTCTATAAAATAAAATTTTAATTTTCCATTATGATACCCCCAAACAAAATCATATTCCTACTACAAGTTGACTAAACTTTTATCCATTTTTAATAACATTTTTTCACATCTTGTAAGTATTATTTTAGAATCTACGAAAAATAAAAATGTAAGCTGGGTATACAAATATAGTAATAATCAACTAAAAGTAGAAAGATTCAGTGCCTAATGACATTTTATGTGGTAGCCATTGAAAAAATAATAAAATGTTAAATACCAAATCTACCCTTCTTCCTTGATAAAAATTTCCAAACTTCTCTCTCTCTTTTCAAACATCCATCAATGGAGAACCACCAGAGAATCTCAACTCACCATCACCAAACGATGCCATCCGAGTTAACTCAAGACGAGTTCACCCAACTCTCAAACTCAATCGCCGAGTTCCACACCTACCAGCTGGGCCAAGGCCGTTGCTCATCACTCCTGGCCCAACGGATCAACGCGCCGCCCGAAACAGTCTGGTCAGTGGTGAGACGCTTCGATCGCCCCCAGATTTACAAACACTTCATCAAAAGCTGCCACGTGGACGAATCCTTCGAGATGCGAGTGGGATGCACGCGCGACGTGAACGTGATTAGCGGTCTTCCGGCGAACACGTCGAGGGAGAGGCTGGATCTGCTCGACGACGATCGGAAGGTAACCGGGTTTAGTATAACCGGAGGCGAGCATCGGCTGAGGAATTACAAATCGGTGACGACGGTTCATCGGTTTGCGAAGGAGAGAGAAGAAGGTGGTGGTGGTGAACGGATCTGGACCGTTGTTTTGGAATCGTACGTCGTGGATGTGCCGGAAGGTAACTCTGAGGAAGATACACGTTTGTTTGCTGATACGGTGATTAGATTGAATCTTCAGAAACTTGCTTCCATTACTGAAGCTATGAATCGTAATAACCACAACAACTCCTCCGGTGGTGGTGGTGGTGGTGACGGTGACGGAACAAACTCTTCTTCTGCTTCTTCTCAGGTGAGGTGATGATATTTGGGGAAAAAGACAAAAAGACACAAAAAAAATTGGGGGGTTTTTAATTTTTTTTTCGTTTTTTGTTTTTTTTTTCGTGAATTGTAATTTGATTATTGTTTTTTTCATGTTTTTATTAACATCAAAGTCGTCTCCTGGATTATTGGGAAATTGAAATGTTCGATATATATTTTTTTTGTCATCAATATATATATATATATATAAGTTACTAATTATATCATGTAACTAGGAACGGTACCTTACTAATTATAGTAGTTCGCTTAGTTATTTATATATTAACAAGATAAAATAAACGTAAGTTAGATTTTCTTTTGGTTCTATTTTATTTGTCATTGTATTTTAAATTAATTATAAGGATGTGTTAAATTATTTATGTTTTCATATCGTAAAAATGGAAATAATACTAAATTTTATTTTTTCATTTTTAGTTCTGTAGTCGGAAAATGTTGTATTGCTAAATATATAATTTCTATAAAGTAAAAGACTAATTATGACAGTTCTCTTGTTGGGCATTTAAAGAAGTAAAAGGCTTTTAAAAGGCGAAAAAGCCCATTAATAATATCACAAAAAGCCCACTAAACAATTTTGTAAATAGTGATTATGTTACCAACGGTTTGAGTTGAGTCATTTAGTGGTAGACTGGTAGGAAATAATTTAGAGTGATTTATTTTTGTATATATATATATATTTTTTTTTTACCGTCTTTATGAATTTTTTACCTATGGCAATGGCAATGTTAAACACATCTGATCGTGCTTCACTTTTTTTTTTCACTTTCAAAAATCATCTGATTCACTTTTTTTTTTTTTAACTCATATGATCGTGCTTAGTTATTTTCTTTTCGTGGGATGATAAGAGAATATAAAGAGTACGATCCTACCATCATGAGACAACACTTAAAAAAGGACTTTTGTTACAATAAAATCTCAAATATGGTTGGACGACGAGAAAGTATGAGATTTGGAGCCACTCCTTTTGTAGTAGTACACTAGTTACTTTTTTTTTATAGATTTTTTTTTTTTTTTAACACTTATTTAGTTTTCATTTTGTCTAATATTTTTTGTTATAAAAATGGAGATACGTAAGAAAATTCATTTAAAAAAATAATCTTGATAATATTTCATATAAGTATAATAATTAGGTTTTTATATAAAAGTAGTTGATTGTTGTATTTAGTAGTAATTAAAGCAAAAGTTAGGAACTGAAGATGTTTCTAGTTTTATTCCATTATGGAAAGGGACAAACCTAGTGGGTACTACAAGTTGCCAACTTGGTTAATAAACAAAAAATAAAAGTCAGAAAGTTATTTTTGATTTTTATTTGAATGGATGATACCAAAAAAAAAATGTTAAAATCAATCAAAGGGGTCCTGACTTTTAATGATGGTGAACCAATTAGAAGATAGGATTTGTCAGCTTCCATGACCTTAATGTTTATCATCAAAATTCGTTTTTGGTTTAATTAAAATAAACTGACTATATAGTTTTAATTCGCCCCTTTTTGAAAATCTCAACAAAAAAAAAACTATATAAAATAAAGTAAATTATTTTGCTCATTTCTATTATTAACAAAAGAAAATGTTTTTAAAATCTATTTAATATCCCATTTAGTTTAAGTATGTTTTCTCCTGATTTATGAACTCTCTATGGTAGTTTTGTAAGTCTTATAATTTTATAGTTCCTCTATTTCAATCTAGTTGTCGTTTAAAAGTTTTTTCGAAACAAATTAAGAAAATGACTAAATTTTATGTTATATATATATTATTGGAAAGATATTTAAACAGTTGAGATAAATTAAAATATTTAAAAAATATATGTATTGAAAATCTAAAACGACAACTATTGTCAACCAAAATTTGAACTTCAAAACGATAACTAAAACAAAACGGAAGAAATACTTAGTATGTCGAAATCTAATTCAAAGAAAAGTTGCTTTTAATCCAATTACTATTTTACAAATTGCTTTTAATCCAATTACTATTTTACAAAACAAACAAAAAAGAATAGAAGGAATTTGACCTAACAAAAGAGGTGGTAAAGATAAATTTGAATAAGTTTGTCCAAAAAAAAGAGAGATAAATTTGAATAAATGTAGGGGCATGTTAAAACAAGTTGATTATTTAGTGCAAACTTTAGTGCATGTTATTAAGGTAGCTAGGCGTCTCTTATGTTCAGCGAATTCAAACAATGATATTTTTTTCACACGATTTCCTAATAACAACATTTCCTAGTTTGGATTTGTTACAAAACAAGAGAGTCATGATGTGACACCAAATTCATAATTTCCAAAGTTTACTAACAAAACTGAAAAAAAAAAAACGAAAATAGGATTTAGACAAAATTGTATACGAATATTTCAAAATTTGAAATTTTTATTTGAGAGTTGAGAGTTTAGACACACAAAAAGAACACAAAGAAAAAAAAATTATAATAACATAATTATAAGTATAACACATTGTATTTAGCCATTTTTATGTAGCCATAGTGGATACAAAAACAAGTACAAAGATGTTGAATCTAGATATTGTATATATATCCATAAAACTTAGTAATTATTTATTAGACCTAACCGGAAATTAAAAGGCGATTATAAAAACTGAAAACAGATATAACCAATACAACTTAGAACCCTTAATCTTGGATTAACTCAACTCAACCATCCGTAAAGATACATCAATTAAGGGGGCATTATACATATTTAAAGCATATATAACTGGTACAACCTAGTTTAATTGATTACAAATTAGAATCCTCAATACATCAATTAAAGGATTATAAATACACTACTACTACTGCTATTAAAGCTATTGATTTTTCCATAATGGACTTAGCAACGGAAAGAAAAAACCCGGTGAAGGCGGTGGTAACGATTCGCTACCGCCTGAAAACCGCGGCGAGAACGCAAAATTGGGAGAGAACAACGGAAACGGCGATCTTGGCTGCGGTGACAAAACAAACTGTGAAGCTGGAGACTGGAATGGTTGCATTGGATTAGGACCGGTTTGTTGTGAAGGAAATAATCCGGTTGATGACTGAACCGGATTTTGGTTTTGCGGCTGAGGCTGGTTTCCTACGGTAGGGCTTGATTCTATTAAGTAACGCATATAAGCCGAGATGGGAGATTCCGCTGGGTTAACAGACTGAACCGGTTCAGAAGCAACTGGAACCGATTGAACCGGAGGATGGTTGAGTTGTGTCAAAGGAGCCGGTCTAACTTTAACCAGACGTGAATTTGGAGGTTTAGGCGGGGTTGGTTGCGGAGGATTGACTGAAGAAGTTGAACCGAGTCCGGTTAACTGTTGAACGATAGATCTGAAATCGGTTTTGTTGATGTTGTAAACCAAAGCTTGAGGGTTTTGTTGTTGTTGTAGATTTTGCTGGTTTGATGGATCTTTACGGATGTTTTTTCCCATCTTATTCACACCAAGATGCTGCTGATGATGATGATGATTATCATAATTATGATGATCGTTACCACGATTCCTCTGATCATGATCCATACTCAAAACAAACCTGATACAAAGAAGAAGGAAGCAAATCCAAATCTTGAAATGAAAGAAACAAATCAAGAAACCACAAAGACTTTTAAATCTCTTATTTAAAAATTACAGTTTTGAAATAAGTAACACAAAAGAGTTTTATAGCAAGAGAGAGCTTACGCGTTTTCTGAATTTGACTGAGAAAACAAAAAAATGAAGATTTGGAAAAGAAGGAAACAAGAGAAGAAAGAACAAAACAAAGAGGCTTTAATTGTCTTCTGACTTTTGTGTTTTGTCTCTCAATTTAAGTTGTTATTAATCAAAAATTTAAAACTAGTTTTCTGATAACTAATTGATTTGAACCAACAAGTGGATTAGATTAGAGTATAAAGACGTAAAACAAGTTGAGGATTAGTGTTTTATTAATATGACTAAAGTTGTCTGTTTAGGAGACTAGGAGTCGTATTATTCTATACCATGTGTTTTTTTTAATCTTTCTAATACGGTTTATACGTTACTCAATCTATTATTTAAACTTAGGTATAATTACACGTGTTGAATGTCTTATCGTCGAAACACTTGTGTAATTATTGTTAATAATAATAGTAAATACTAAATACAAATTACTCACAGCTGATAATATTGACCATGAATCGTTTGCTATGACTAATAAATAATAGTAATACAAGTGACACAGCTGAAAATATAGGACTGAACAATATACGGATTATCGTATTTTTATTGACGAATCTAACTACTAAAATTCAATATTCATTTAAAGTGAACAAAAAATTATCAAAATTAACATTTTCGATATCTGTTTTTGCAACTAAATACACATATATATATATATATAATATGTACGTCCACAAATATATAGAATATAATATGTTTTATATATACATACTGTATATATAATACTGTAGACAAAATATGGGAAAAGTTCATGGTATTTGACTGACTGACTGACGGTAGATTTTGCAATTTTTCATGGAAGTTTGACTCTAAATAATAGTATTTTCTTATAATAAAATATGTGATAAATTAGATCTTAATGGTTTTAAAGAAAATTAGAAAGAAACGCGATATTTAATCTTTATAATATAGTATTATTCGCCTTGTAATTCTTAAAAATAGTATGTAGTTCGATCCGTAATATGCCGTGATGAATGATTTAATATGTTACTCGAATATTCGAACAACCAGAGATCGATCCAATTAAATAGCTTAGAAGTCGAGATAAATAATCTAAGAGCATGATTAATGCTAGTGTAAGAAGTTTTTTTTTAACAAAATCTTAGTCTAAAAGACCACCATTAAACATATTTTTATGTCTCTAAAACAAACCAAAGCTATACCACAAAAGTATCTATCACGACAGTTAGAAACAAAACAATCTCCATTATTATTACTTTGGGAATTACCTAAGCAATGCGAATAGTAGGCCCAATCGAAATGATCATATTCGTGACAATCACAAGTCCGGTCATACTCGTTCAGAATTATGAGATAAGTTTTGTTGTTTTTTTCTCTTATGATTCACTTTTGTTGCTTTGTTAGTTTAGTTAATAATCTTCTCAACGATATATAACACATAAACTTAGTGCATTTGCAATAATAATTTGACTATTACCTTAGTCCTTAAACACGTTCCAAATGAAACATATAAACGAATATTCAAAAGGGAACAAATATAACGTGACAAGTAATAAACAATACTATAATACATCTCACATATCCTATCACGATTTATATAAATCACGAATCTGGATTTGAAACTATATATGTTATATTACCAGCTTCATTCTCTCTTCAAATCGATGATGTAATCTCTCATCTTATAAAAAACATTTCATATATAAAAATCTCAGAATCATGATGATCATCATATGTTAATCATCCTTTTTTCTTCTATTAATCCTTGATCTCTCAAATTCTCAAAACTCCAATTCCTTCGCACTCCGGTGCTCCTTACAAGCCTTGGTTGTTCAGGCCGGGTTGGTCCATTGCTAGGGTTGGAACCAACAGGACCACTTAGCCTAACGTGAGGAATCTTTTTCACCTTCTTCATCTTCTGCGCTAAAGACGATCCTGACCGTCCAATCTTCTCATGGTTCCTAGGGCTCAAACTCCCTGACCAGTTTCTCCCACCAATAGGAGGATCTACACAACATGTTTTACCTAGAACATGGTTATTCATCTCGACCGTTGGTGGTCCAGGACCGGAGAGATTTAAATCTTTGTTGGAATCTGTTCTTGGAAGGGCTTGACATGTTAGACAATTTAGGCTCATGACTTTTGTTTTACGATCTCCTTAGCTTACGACAATATGGAGATCAATAACGAGAAAGAGAGAGATAATGAACAAGAAAGAGAGATACTTTTGTTTTATTTTGGTTAGTAAAATATGTTTTGTGTTCTATTTTAGTAAAAAGACTAACAAGAACTAATCTAATTTTAGTGAAAAGTGTATATTTGTAAAATTCGATTTTGGGTGTTATGCGTGAGCACACGTTAATTAACAAACTAGCTGATACATACTTTATAGAAACGAGAGAGTTTCTTGTCTTTGGTCGTTGGTTAGTTAAAGACAAATTTTTGTAAGAATTAACAATATTTGTAGTCAAAAAATTTCATAACAAAATTGTAGTGTGAACAAATAAGTGAACTATTTAATATAGATAGCCAAAGATAGATGAAAGATGACTATTATTTCCTTTAAAGAGGGGGTCAACTTTATGGTAGTACATAAATTTTTTGACCTACTAGCAAAATTTTGATTTATGATAAGGTGTGAATACTAATGCAAATTATTAAACTAAAAACCTAGGTCCAATTATTAAACCAAATATTCGATTATCATGTTATATGTGGATGAAACTAAAACTAATCTACACTAATTACTTAAAGACTAGTCTATAAGAGACATAGGTATATGATCACACGGCACTCTAAACCTAAAGATATACTCAAACTCACACATGAGATAAGATAAGACACTATAAAAGACTTCCAACTACTCATAACTTAAAAACTAAACCACATTTATATATTTGATTAAACTTTTAATTGTTGTTATTTAGTAGTAGTATTAGTGTTTTTAAAAACATATACAAACAAATGACTCATGTCTCCACATTTTTGGAATTGCAAACAGTTTCCTCATATCCCCTCAAAAAGATAAGAGCACTATCTCTCTCTCCAAAACCCATTTACAACCACTTATTTTCCTCAACTTTTTGGTACACTTAAAGTTCATAAGTTTGGTTTGGATCTTTATGTTATATAAAGCTACAAACTATAACAAAGATAAGTGATTACTAACTGATAACAAAGATAAGTGATTGCTAACTGATAAAGTTTCAATCACAGAACCAAGAAAAACTTCAATATAATTAAGGATCTCACTTAATCTTACTCCATACATATATATACATACAAGTACAACAACCAAAGATTTTATTATTTTACTAACTCTCTCTCTGGTCTGGTCTCCTTAAGGATTATGAAACACTAAACTAAGAACTAAACAAGTTCTCCCTAATGAACAACAACATTAACAACATGATGCGAGTGATGCAAAATGAGTACTTACTACTTTACAAAGAGATCTATATGTGTATGAGATCATACATTACCCGCTAGATTCGATCGATGAAAACATCGATTCAATATGGCGTCTTTGTTTCAATAGGTTTCTCCGACTTTCGTCATTAAAGCAACTTTGAGCTGGTCATGATTGAAAAACTGGCTCCCCATCTTCACGGTAGCTTGTTGAATCATCAAATCGTTCACAACGGATAAACTCGCATGATTCACTTCCAAATCCAACTCCTTAAGCGCTTCCATGAATCTAGCACCGGGATGGTCCTTCTTGCTGCATTGCACGCGTATCATCACATCCCAACCTATGATCTTCACATCAATCTCCATTTCTATCGAACTCCCCGAAGAATCTTGATTCGAACTTTTTCGTTCTTTCGCCCTCGACCCTCCTTTTCCATTTCCTTCCTTGTTTACCCCATCTAGCCGCTTCTGAATCTCTTCTTTATCGATCTCCGCTTGTTGCAGCTTCGATTTAAGCTCATTGATGTACGAAATAGCGTCTCCGAGAAGAGAAGCTTTATCCATCTTGGAAACATTAGGAACCACAGCTCTCAAAGAGTAGAATCTCTGGTTTAACTTCTCCCTTCTCTGTCTCTCTGCTTCAACATGATTCAACGGCTCTTCTCTTCCATTAGCCGGTTTCCTCCCCCGTTTCCTCGGCTTCTTCTCCGGTGGTTCAACAACAATCGCTTCCTTAACCACAGATGCTTCAAGATCAGAATGATCCGAATCACCTGATTTCGCAGTGGATCGAACCACAGTGCTAAAAGAAAGCATCCCTTCATCGTTATTACTCCCTTTTGAAACCACAGACCTCTTCTTGTTCCTCTCGTTACCACAGAAACTTAAAGTCTCATTCGACTTCAACCCACCTTGAAAGTTCCCATTTTTATTCAACCCAGAGCTCGAAAAGTTCAAATCTCTCTCACCAAGACACGGACTTTGACGATTAAGATTCTCCACAGAGCTAATATCATTCTTCTCAAGCTTCGAAATCTGATGAGAATCTGACTTTGAATTAGAATTCGAGTTATTACCATTAACCCTCGCCGGAGATTCGATTCCGGTGTTTGTCGCCGGTTCACTAATCCACAGAGCTGGATCGTTCTCACCTTGATCTGGATTCAGATTAAACCCCCAAGAGCAAGCTTCACCATTATTACCACCGTTGTTGGAATTAAACAAGTTGTTAACTTTATCCATCAGATCTGAGCTTTGGCTTATAACTTCCGACGAGCCAAGCTCAACGACGCCGTTTTGAGCAGCGATACACACCATCGTCTTCAACCCATAAATCTGACCTTGACCAGCTCTTTCACAACCCGACCCGGTTAAAGCACCCGGCCCAGATAACCAAATTACACGAGAGTTTAGGAAAGATTCACCGGGAAGTCCAACACCGTTAACGAAGCTTTGAGTCATCGAGACTAAGAAGAACCATTCAGTATCCGTAACTTCTTCATCGTTTGATTCATCGGAAACTCCAATTCCGCCGGAGATCAACGAATTAAGCTCACGAATCACTCTTTTCCGATGCTCTTGCTCCGCCGTGTTCGTGTTGTTCTTCTTCTTCTCTTTGTCTTCTTCTCCTTTGTAGTAACCATCACCCCAACCGAGGATTACAGTGTTCTCTCCCGTCGATGAATCGAAGTCGTGAGAGATCTGCCAGAAGATAGCGTAAGTCCAGTTTTCTCCGGCGGATTCGATTAAAGCTTGGAGACGTTGCTGAAGAGTATCTTCGTTGAACTGAGGAAGAAGAGGTTGTGGCTGTGGTGGTGGTGGAGGAAAGATAGATGAGTGCTGATTTGTTCCGATGAAAGCTTCCATCGCCGCCGACGGGTCATCGTCGGTGGTTGTCAAGAAATTGATTGATGATGCTGTGCCGTTCATGTGAACAGCCGCCGGTTTTGAAAGGTGAAGACTTTTTCCGGTGAAAGGTGAAGACTTTTCCGGTGAGAGAGAGAGAGAGAGGTGACGTGTTGGTGGAAAAATCAAAAGAAGGGAAAAAAGCTAAGCAAATGGCGTTTATTGATTGTTTGGAGAAGATGATTCTCTCTATTTTAATATATTTGTTTTTATATTACAACTGTAAAATAATACATTATTATTTTGGTTCTGACAAAAATTAAAAAGCTTATAATATGAGAGTTGTGACATATTATAAGACAAAATAAAGCAAGTGTTTTTAGTTAACGGTTACGAAATCGTAAAATAATAAATACTACGCAAATTAAATATTTATGGTGTGATAATTCTCGTTTGGACAACTATTTTTGTTTACTAAACCTAATATGAAAAAGAGTTTGTGAATTGTGATTAGTGGTTCAGTTTTATTATGGTCACGGTGGTTCGATAATCATAAACGACTACAACTTTAAAATCGAAAAATGTTATTTGTTTTGTAATCATGTAATTAGTCGCTACAATTAATTATAAATAAAATAATTTTGTACATGTTTTTTTAAATCTGATCAGAAATTTTTTACTAGTTGTTGTAGCAATTAATCATTGTGTTTATAATAAAAATATGTGTTCATTTGATAAGTAAACTGAAAACATAGAATAAATTATTCAGTTGGTTTTATGTTATCAAAGAATCAAAAACATATACATATGTAAAATATTGTACTAAATATGAAAAATTTCATTAGATTATATTTAAAGAAGATATAGATTATAAATATCGTCAGATTTGAAATAAAAGTGTCAGATATGAGATTAATTAAATTATTAGACATGAAATCTAATTTCGAGATGTCAGAAGGCTTAAGTACTCTTAAAAAACCATAGATTGTCGGAAAGAGATTGGATTTGAGAACCAAAAACTTATCTCGATGGTTAATTTCAATGTCGTTGCGGATTCTTTATTCAGTAGTATTCACTAATATCACTATGGTCTTATATTCACCTAGCATAATATTTTTCGAAAAGCCTATTGATAAAAAATAATTTGATTCATTATTTGATTTCTTTTTCTCTTTGTTATTTGATTCAATTACATTTGTTTTTCAATTTATTTTTTTCAACCGTTAATAGTATATGTTTTTTTTGTTCTAATATTTTCTTAATATATTTATTTCCGGGAAAAAATGCAATATTTACTATTTAGTGATTTTAACTATATAAGTGGAGGCAAAATTTGGATATTATTCAGCCTGCACCACACATAAATCTGTCAACATATCTCAGCATAATTATTTATGTTTTGGACATAGCAGCCCACTTTAATTGTTTGGGTCCTCCTCTCTCTAAGGAATAGTCGTGTCTGTATCTCTACATGTTTTTTCACTATTTACTTGACATTTTTCAATATTTTGGGATTGTAAAATAATATTTTAACATTTTAGTCATGACATATAGTTTTGGATTTCATTTCTATATAATATTTTACTCTATTTAATCACCTTTTTCTCATCAACAGTTAAAATTCCTTTTTAACGTTTTGTTAAAACTATAATGACCAAAACAATGTATCTAGTATGATAATTTTAAAAAGTTACAAATGATATTGACAAATTACACATGATAATGCTAAAATATCAAAAAAAAAGAAAAGTATTGAGTGAAAAAGACAACAATGTACAGTAGTATTCAATGGTTCTTAATCACACGATGATGGCTATCGAAAATGATCCTCCTCCCATTCACGTGATTCTCGTGGATGATGTAATTACCAAATGACTTTAGACCCACTAATCGTACACTAATTATTAACAAAGTAATCATTAATTGACATTAAAACATTATAATAAAATATCTGTTTTTTTGTTTTTATTTTATAGGTTTTTGCCAGTTTTGCAAGACATTAATCAACAACATGTCCTTCAAGAACAATGTATTAAGCAAAAAAGGTTTTAGATGGATTTGGTGTAGTTAGTTTATAACCTAGTTTTAATATCTTAACATGCTTCCAAAATATGTTTACAAAACTAAAGATATTTCATTTTTTAAATGAATAATTGTATTTATACTTTCATTTTTCTGTATAAATTTTATTTTAAAACCGAATGTTTTTGCGCATTTACTAAAGATTAAAGTTTTATAGTTTTTTGTTTCTGGTTTAGATTTTAAGATCAAAAGTTTATGATTTTTAAGACTGTGGCTAAATTTTAGATTTCAGAGTTACATTTGATTTGCATTTTGCAATTTAGAATTTAATCCACTAATTTGTTTGTTTCTAAATATACAAAACAAGAGTACTAGGCTTCATTAGTATTGGGCCAGTAAAGCCCAATTTTAGTATTGATCAACTAATCTAATGCAAGGCCTTTAAAAACTTTGAATGAAACATTACAACAAATCATAAACGTGAATGAAAATCTAAATAAAATAAATAAATTACCTTTACAGGTTTCGTAAGCAAACAACAACAACCAAAAAAAAAAAAAAAAAAAAAAAATCTCTGCTTTGAAGAATCATCAACACTTTCAGATTTCCAGATTTTAGATTTGTAATCAACGATGGCGACTGAGACTCTCACCGATAAGAATGTTGTTTTCAGAAAGCTTAAATCAAAATCCGAGAACAAGGTTAGGGTTTTCTCCATTAGAAATTTGATTATTTGTTTTCAATTTGAGTTTGGTGTGGTTTCGATCAGATCTGGAACTTATACGACCGTAATCTTCCGATTGATTTGTGATTTTTGGATTTTTAGGTGTGTTTCGATTGTAGTGCGAAGAATCCAACTTGGGCTTCGGTTCCTTATGGTATCTTTCTGTGTATCGATTGTTCAGCTGTTCATCGAAGTCTCGGTGTTCATATCAGCTTCGTGAGGTAAGCTTTGAAGTCTCAGGAACATAGATTTAGCATTTTAGTTGAACTCTCTGGGTTTAATTAGTTTCCCTAAGTGTAGCAAAGTTTTCACTTTTGGCTAGACTAGGGTTTAAGCTGTGTTTGTTTATCCACTTTATGCGGGAAGATGTTGACTTTTGTTCCCCTGTGACTATTCTATTTATAGTTCTTTACTTTGTAGTCTATCTTCTGGTTGATTATAAGATCATATTCTATACACATTCATTGTATATACACGCATTTATTGTTTTTTTGGGGATCATATTGATGCAATTTTTTTGATGCCATTAGCTATATTTTTTTTGTGAAGGTCAACGAATTTAGACTCGTGGAGTCCTGAGCAGCTAAGAACGATGATGTTTGGTGGGAACAACCGAGCTCAGGTGTTTTTCAAGCAACATGGATGGAATGATGGTGGAAAAATCGAGGCTAAGTACACTTCAAGAGCTGCTGATTTATATAGACAGACTCTTGCTAAGGAAGTTGCTAAAGCCATGGCGGAAGAAACTGGTTTATCGGCATTGCCTTCTTCTGCTGCTACTTCTCAGCCAATAGAGTCATCTAAGAATGGGGTTTCTTCTGAACCTTCAACAAAAGAGAGTTCTTTGGTTAAGCAAGATGAAACTGTTGTCTCCTCTTCTTCACCGAAAGCTTCTCAGAAAGTTGTGGCTAGTACTTTTAAGAAACCTCTTGTGTCGAGAAAGACAGGGAAGACTGGTGGTCTTGGCGCTCGTAAGCTTACTACTAAGGTAAAGATTCTCGTTTTTGAAAGACTGATAGCTTGTCTCTCGTTTCTTGGTTTTGATGAGACTCGTCTCTATTGTTATACAGCCACAAGACAACCTCTATGAGCAGAAGCCCGAAGAACCTGTACCTGTGATTCCTGCTGCTTCTATAACTAAAGACACATCATCAGCTGGACCATCATTTGCTTCTCGATTTGAGTACTTCGATGATGAGCAATCTGGTGGGCAAAGTGGCACACGAGTGCTTAGCCATGTTGCTCCACCAAAGTCATCAAATTTTTTCAATGAATTTGGAATGGACAGTGCTTTCCCCAAGAAATCAAGCTCAAGCTCATCCAAAGTTCAGGTTAAGAAAGTTGCATTTTTAACAGAACCCAAGATAGATATGAAAACCAATTCCCATATCCTCTTTGCTTAACTGTAATTTTCTTACTTAGGTTGAAGAAACGGATGAAGCAAGAAAGAAGTTCTCAAATGCAAAATCAATCTCCTCTGCCCAATTTTTCGGAAATCAGAACAGAGATGCCGATCTGGACTCAAAAGCTACCCTTCAAAAGTTCTCAGTATGTCCAAAGTCAATCAATCCCTATATTAACTTTTTCTTAAGTCTCATTGTTCATACATATCTAATGCAGTTATATATCTAACAGGGCTCAGCAGCTATTTCAAGTTCCGATCTTTTTGGCCGAGGACCAGATGATGGCGACATCGACATCACTGCGAGCGATCTCATCAACAGAATTTCATTCCAGGTAAAGTTCTGAGTAGAATCAAATTCTTCAGCGTTACTTACTCTGCTTATTATTTTCTATTTGACTTTGTTCATTCCACAGGCGCAGCAAGATATGTCATCAATTGCGAACTTGGCGGAAGAAACAAAGAATAAGCTCGGAACATTTGCCTCTAGTATATTCAGTGATCTTCAGGATAGAATGCTGTAAGAAAAAGAAAAAAATATACATAGATCTATGTCTTTTGGTGTAACTTACATACAGCGGACACATTGTCGGATCTAAATGTCATTCTTTTGCTTGGTTTGTAGTAGTTGAAAGAGTTATTTTTGTGGTAAGATGTTTATGTGGAATTTGATCATTTAATGTATGATAGTATATGTTATTGAAAACTGGAAAGGGTTTATACTGTAGCGTACACTAGTTTTGTCAAACAAATGTCATTTAAATCACGAATTTTCATATTTTGGCCATTTAAATCACAAACTTTATGTGTGCCCATTCAAAATATTAACTTTTTCATTAACTTAGTTTTTAAAACTTCATCTTTCGCTGACCAAGTCGAAATGAACATCATATCCTCAAATCCGTTAACAGATAAGGTTCGTGACTTTGTACAGTGAAAGTTAATCGCGTTTGTTGAGAGAATTCCATTTATCCGCGTATACGATTCATCGTCGTTAGATTGCAGATTGGGTGTTATTAGAACTTGCCGATCTCTACTGTCAGATGAGGACAAAAAGGAGGAGGGGCTGTGACATGAATTAATCCAGATTTTTAGGAAGTTAACTGAGAAAATAAATGATGTGGCATACACTAATTATATAATGTTTGACAAAAAAAACACAGAAACATTGTTTGAAAAAGTTAAAAATAATCTAGATTTAGAAAGATAATGACAAAGTAGTTGGAGAAAAGGAATTTAAACTTCATAACAGAAATAAAACAACATTATATATCAGTTACTTTAATAAAACAAATTCACAATCAACTTCTTTTTCCTTATTTTTTCCTTATATTATATATTTTCAAAAATATACTATACAATCTGAGTTTTGTAAATAAAACTTGATTATTTAAAAATAAAATAAAATGGTGAAAGAGTGTCTGATAAGCCAAATCCCAAATTACGAACCATGATTGAGTTTAACCACTTAACCTGTGATTAGAGTTTTACGCTTATTTTTTAAAGAAAAGGTCAAAAACAAAAACCCTAATCCCCAAAAAAATGGCGGCTTGATTTTCCCTCCCAATTCAAAACCTTCTTCTTCACTCCAATTCTCAGCTTCCCTCCATCTTCGATTCCGATTCCCACTTTGATTTCCAAAATTTCGCTTTTTTTTTTTGGAGCGAAAACTCAAAATTTATCTTCTTTCTTTAATTTACTAAAACGAAGATGCAGAAATCTCCCAAAACCAAACCCTAGCTTTCTACTTTTTCCCCTCTTTCTTCTCTTCCGTGTTTCCCAGAAAATTTCGAGATCTGGGTTTCGTTGTTAATGGCGGAATTTAGTGACCCACCACCGTCAGATCTCTCTTCTTCTCCTGAATTAGCTAAACCCAACAAAACCCTAGATGAGACTTCACCAACCGCGCCAATCAGAGACCTTGTCACTCACTCGCTCTCTATCTCCTCGCCGATTCGTCAGATTCAGGCTTATTCTCCGGCGAAACACGATGGGTCTTCCCCTTCTCCGTCTAACAAAACCCTAATTTTCAATTCGGAGGAAAACAGAGAGATGGACAAATATGGGTCTACAGAAAAAGCCCTAATCTTGGCTCCAGCGAACAACGACAATCTTCTCCAAATCGCGAGTACGTCAGATTCGTATCTGTATTCTCGTCCACCAAGGAGATACATAGCCAATAATGACTGTCAAAGCGACGACGATGACGACTTATATAAGAGCGAACCCGCAAAGCCTCTACCGTACTCTTGGTGGTATCCGAAGATTGAACCCACCGGTGTTGTATGTTTCTCTCTTCCCCCTTCTTTTTATCTTATTTTGTGTTTTGGTTTCAATTTTGCTTTATATCCAAAATTGAATGTTTTTTACAATTTCTTCAGGGTGCTGGGCTGTATAACTCAGGCAACACTTGTTTCATAGCTTCTGTGTTACAATGTTTCACTCATACTGTACCACTTATTGAGAGTCTTCGCTCGTACATGCATCAAAGCCCTTGCAACTGTAAGAATTATTGATCTACGATGTATTGCTTATTTGTTCTTGATTTGAGTTTGGTGCCTTTGTTTGGTTCATGGTCTTAATCTTGTAGTTCCTTTGGACTTTTCAGGTGGCAATGAGAAGTTCTGTGTTATGCAAGCTCTTCGAGATCATATAGAGCTTGCTCTGAGATCTTCAGGACATGGATTAAGCATTGATGGATTTCGTGATAATCTGAACTGTATCCTTTCTGAGTGTGTTTATTTATTTATTTATTTATTTGTGTGCATAATTTTGTGTTTGAGGATTCTTCTTCATTTGAATGGTTTGATCCTTAACCCATCACAGATTTTTCATCTGATTTTATGATAAACCAACAAGAAGATGCCCACGAGTTTCTACAGTCGTTTTTAGATAAGTTAGAGAGATGTTGCTTGGATCCTAGGAATAAGCCTGACTCTTCTCAAGATTTAAACATTGTTGACAATGTCTTTGGTGGCCGTCTCATGAGTACGGTAAGAAAGCATTAATTGATTACCATACTATTAATCTAGTGTTGAAGCAGTTTCCATATAGATAAATGATTATTGGAAATATGTTTGATCTCTTCCTTTTTCAGCTTTGTTGCCGCAATTGCAATCACGTTTCCAACACATTTGAACCTTCTCTTGGATGGAGTTTGGAAATTGACGAAGTTAATAACCTCTGGAGTGCTCTTGAATCCTTTACACGTGTGGAATCACTTGAGGACCAGTTAACATGTGATAATTGTAAGGAGAAAGTCACAAAGGAGAAGCAACTCAAGTTTGATAAGTTGCCGCCTGTTGCTACTTTCCATCTTAAGAGATTCAAGAATGATGGAGTTACTATGAATAAGATCTTCGAGCATATTGAGGTCCCTTTGGAGTTGGATCTGCTCCCTTTCATGAGCAGTGACCAAAATCCTGAGGTATGTGGAAATTTCAGACCTTTTTGTATTGTAGATCTTGAGATTTTTGAGTCTTAACATACAATTTTGTATCTTCAGGTTTCCACTAAATATTATCTTTATGCCTTTGTGGAGCATATTGGGGTTAGAGCAACTTTTGGTCATTACTCCACTTATGTGAGATCAGCTCCTGACACATGGCATAATTTTGATGACTCAAAGGTAAATATAATACAGTCAGTGAATTCATTCCATTAGTGTCGCTTAGTTCTCTCTGAAGGTTTTCAATAAATTGAACTTTTTGTATTTATTTTTTGGAAATCTTGGCAGGTCACAAGAATCAGCGAAGAGAGAGTTCTATCGCAGGATGCATATATATTATTTTATGCAAGAGAAGGAACTCCTTGGTTTTCCACTACTTTTGAACAGCTGAAGACAGTGTATGACGCTACTCCGTCAAATTGTTCACCAAAGTCAGTACTTGATAACAACAGTTACGAGAGTGTTGGCAATTCCAATAAAGCCTGCAACGACTTGGTGGGAGGATCGATCCCGGAAGCAAATTGGTCAGATTTTAGCTGTCCTGAACCAAAAGAAGAAGTGTTCCATTCAGCTGAGTCTAGCAACGACGAAGATTCTTCGGTCATGATTGACGCTCTCAAGTCACCTGAGGCTGATGAATCTGAGAAACCAATTGCTGAAACCTCTCAACAGAGAGAACCTGAGTCATGTCAAGCTGCCAAACAAGCTAACATCGATGAATCTGAGAAGCCATTTGCTGAGACCTCCCAACAGAAAGAACCTGAGTCAAGTCCAGCTGCCAGCAGAGCTAGCACAGAGGCCGCTCAAGTCCCTCTGCTTAAAGTTCAGAATCAAGACATATCTCCAAAACGCAAAGGTACTATCTCTTACCGATGTATTTTTGATAGCTTACCTGTCAGATAAAGATAAGAGATTCTGATGGGTTCAGATAAAGTTGTCCTTTAGTAATCTGTAAATCATCGGTTACAAGAAAAATCAATCTAAACTAGAACCTAGAACAAACTAGAGAGTAATGATCCGTCAACAAAGCTCTTATACGGTGTGTGTGTGACTATGTACAGCTGGTGAGGATGGCGCTTACCAACCTAAGCCCAAGATTCAAAAACCAAACTCCCGTCCGAGACGCCAAGGTACTACCTGTTCTGATAGCTTAAGTCTCAAATTATAGTAAAAATGTGGAAGAGTGATTTATATAATTGTATGTATCTAAGTGATGAGAAAACCAAAGATCCCAAGTCTGAGTATGTGTGATTCTGTAACAGGAAGCTTTCAGATTCAACGTTCGCATTTGCAAACTAAGAACCAAGAAGAAACACGTAAAACAAAGCCGCTGGCCTTAAGAAGCAATGCTGCTACAGATCCCAAGGAAACAGATATTGCTCTTTCATATCTCAGTAGGGTTCACACACCTCGCTCTCGAGCATTTGCTAGAGTTTTGGTTGGTTCTCCTATCAAGAAAAACAAATTCAGAAGATAAAAATCTATTCAACTGTGAAGAGTTTTAGCTAGAGAGATAATGAAAAGTTTGTTCTTTTGGTTTTTTTTTTTGTGTTTGGAGTTTTCTTGTGAATACAAAACTCTGATCAAATTTTGTTTTGAGGCTCCAAACCAAAAACTTCTTAAGGTTTGTTCATATATAAAAACATTTCTCTATAAATTATGCTTTCAATGATATGATATAAGACAATAAACTATTAAATTATTAGGAAACACAATACAACGTTCAATAATAATAATAATTGATACAAAATGTTTTGAAATAGGCATTTTAATTTGTATACCCCTTCACAAATCATCTTTATTTTTGAAGCCTTTCTTTTGTTTCATCTTAATTTGGTTTCTCTATGGGGCATAGCCTCCACCGCCGTGACCACCACCACCACCATGACCACCACCGCCACCGTGACCTCCACCTGAGCTACCTCCGTGTTCACCACCGTAACTACCACCTCCGCCTTCTCCTCCTCCACCGCCTCCACCATATCCTCCTGCTGCACCTCCTCCATAACCCCCTCCTTCACCACCCCCACTTCCATAGCCACCTCCATGTGCTCCTCCTCCACCGTAAGCTCCTCCTCCTCCACTTCCTCCACCGCCACCGCCTCCGTAGCCTCCAGCACCACCGTGAGACCCTCCACCACCAGCTCCTCCTCCTTCACCGCCTCCATAAGCACCTCCATGAGCCCCTCCTGCTGATGCTCCACCACCTCCTCCTCCATGTCCACCACCGCCTCCATAAGCTCCGCCTCCATACGCACTTCCACCGGCGCCACCACCTTCACCAGCTCCATTTCCATAACCACTTGCATGCTCTCCTTCACCACCGTAAGCTGATCCTCCACCGCCTCCGCTACCACCACCTCCACCACCAGCATGACCACCACCACCAATTACACCACCAGCTCCTGCACCACCACCACTTCCATAACCACTAGCTCCTCCTGCACCGCCATATGCAGCTCCACCACCACCACCGCTACCTCCACCACCACCGCCAGCATGTCCACCATAACCACCAGCAGCTCCACCGTAACCAGCACCTCCTCCTTCTCCTCCTCCACTAGCATAACCACCAGAAGAAGCAGCTCCACCACCGCCTCCACCGTGACCACCACCGCCACCACCAGCATACCCTGCAGCACCTCCATATCCACCACCACCTCCTTCTCCACTACCACCACCGTAACCACCACCACTCACTCCTCCATAACCTCCACCACTCGCTCCTCCAGAGCCTCCACCACCACCATGTCCTCCACCGCCACCACCAGCATGGCCAGCAGCTTCACCACCGTAGTTCAAAAGATTGCGGCTAGTGGCGTAGCAAATGCTAACGCCGAGTACAAGAAAAAAGACAGTTGAGAAAGCTTTGAGAGAAACCATAGTGTTTTGAAAGTGATGAATACAAATGGAAAGGGCTCAGTGAGCTATTTATAGTAATTGGGGTTTGGTATGTTAAGCCGCGTCTTCTTGAAAAACAAAACAAGAGTGGTTAAAGCACATGCTTACGACCAAAAGTGTAGATTTTGTCCCTACCCATTACTCCTAATTTTAGTTTCAATTTCTAAGTTTTTCTCTAGTTTAATAAATATTTTGTTTCTAAGTTATACTAGCTCGAACGTCAACCTTGAAAAACAAGGTCCGTTCACAAATATTAGACACTATAGTAGTAGAGTTCTTCAATCTTGGAATAGAGGAATGATAAGTAGACTTCTTTATTTGTTTGTAAGAGTTTGGGATAGTTGATATGTGGACACAAGGTGAGTCTTGATGCATGTTTTTGTTCCAGATTGAACCTTGTTTGTGTTGATAAAAAAATGTATTGGAATTTGGAAAGGTTAGTTAGAATACCATTAACAAGTCTCACTAGCTATATCCATAGTGAAGTATAGTGTTGAGTTTGCCTTTTTGACTTGTTTACTCAGCTAAAGCTTCTTCTAACAACCCATTTATTTCCAAACCAAACCTTCTATGCTTGGTCAGTCTTTTACTTTCACCTATTACTCATGTTTTGCATTGTTAATTATATAACTAAAACTCTTACTTCTTTTACATGAAACATGCAATTTTGAGACTATATAATTTACGTCAAATAATATTCAAAACCAAATTGAGTGGTTTAATTAACAAAGCTATATTTAAAATTAGGGTTATATATCTAGTATATGAATAACATGCAAGTCACAATATCGTGAATTACGGTGTTGAGAAATATTCCTCACCAAATCTTCAAACCAAATTATCCTCTTTTTTTATAACTATTTTAGCTTATATCTTGCAATTTGCATTGCAGCCAAGCTCTTGTTTTGTTTTACATGACCTCTACACATGACATGTGCATGACTAATCAAAATATGGAACTTAATTTCGGTAATTTAGCAAAACTGCTTTTCAAATGGATTACTACGTTTCAACAGCACCAACTTATCTCTATCGATTCAACATTTTGTAGAGAAGTTAATCCAAAAAATGGTAAATAAAGCTAATTATTTTGATCACGTGAATACATGATCACATATTGAATAATGCATGTAATGAAGAAGAACCTATATATTTCCAATATTTTTCCATGAGAGCTTAATTACTTCTAGAAGATGAAATCGAATCATGATTAATTTAATACAAGAAACTTCGGTACAAAAACATTGTGAACAGAAATTAAATAAATAAAGATTTTGGTAAGAGACTACTAAAATATAATAAGCAAGAAAAAACACACTTAAATTAAATAATGCGTATCTTGCGTCGTCGTAGCATTGCCACTCAAATTAAGAAGACCTATCAAGTTTTTTTTGGAGGATTTGGTGCTGTCCAGCCAACGACCACTTCTCTACTTATTATTATGCCGTAGAGAATACACTGACATAAAAATAATAACTACAGAAATGAATAAGTATATACATTATACACTATTTCTAAATAGCATTGAAATGATAAAAACAAAACAATGATTCTTGTTATGACATATGAAGTTGATATAACATTGCAAAAAAAGGAGAGTCGTGGATTACAAAAGAAATGTGTAAAAATTGAAATGATATTATAAGTAGTAAATGAAAGATGTTTTTTTAGCTCAGTTTCTGTATGCTTTTAATAACAAAATTAACCATAAGAACTATAATAGAGTGTATTTAACAAATATATAATAGTAAAATGACATAGTCTAATTCAACTCTGTAAAAATTTTGTTGTAATTTTAACAACCTGCGTAATTGCATACTCATTTTTTTCGTTGAAATGGAGTACCAATCGGAGTTTGTTAATAATCATGGAATTCAATATTAGATTTGTCACGATCCATTAGCACTAGCAGCATTGCCACCTATGGATAATCTTTTAATACGACAAAAAAACACTAAAAATAAATATAAATACAAACCCAAACTATTATAATTCATTCTAAACGAATAAACATGAATTTATAATTTTATTATGTATGATAAAAAAAATTAGATGTAGAAACGTAAGTTTAATATATTTAAACAAAACATATTATTTTTCCAATGCATTTTTCACTTGTATAATATTGATATTATATTTGGAAAACTAAAATGCACAACAACACGAACAGCTATAAAATGCAATGTCACTAGACTATTCTCATGGGATTTTAATGTTTACTTTAAGTGAATTTAACAAATTAAGTCTTTAGAGAAAAGTGTGTAAACACATTGACAAATGAAGAGCTCAAGCTTTAGGCATTGTCAAAAGGATAAGCACCCAAGTTACCCCCATAATCGTTTCCAGCAAATTACAAATTTGTTCCATTGAGATAATAGAGGGAAGGTAATGATGATACAATATGTACAAAACACACAAATATAAATGGGTATATGTAGAGTTTTATACACAAAACACCAAAGTGGGAGATCACATGGAATAAAGCACACACACCGTCGTTGTTGAAGAATGGCGTGAAGAAGAAGAAGTAGGACCAGTACCTAGCTCCATAGTGCTCTTCTTCTTTCACTTATCTTCCACGCTTCCCCAAAAAAGCTTAATCACTTGGTTTATCCCACACATTGTCCTACTGTGTTCATGATAACAAGAAAGTGTGTTCCTTTGAATCATTCATCAAGTACAATGCGCAAAGTTCAATCATAAGAGAATAGTTCAAACAACACTGTTCTTATCAACAAACCTATACATAACATTTTGGAATAGACGATTATGTCACAAACTTATTCCTCATGAACGATCCGTTGCGATATAAATGTGCCGGACCTAGTTCAGCCGATGAAATAGTATTATCAAGCTACACCAACCGAGCTGAACTCTTAACTTACTTCAACATCACACTTCTGTAAAGATCGGCCATGAGCTTAATTCACGGTTGCTTAGCCAAATCTTAAGATCTCGGAACATAGCGACCTTGTACATAAAGAGTCTCTTATTGTAATTGCACAAAGACAAAGCGTTTGGTTTGGTCCCTCTCACTGACAATGGAGATCACATAGTCTGACAACAACAACAAAAAGTCCACTACTAGAAATTTGGTTTCTCTCACATATGACACCATCAAAACAAGATTGAAACCTCTATGAAAAGAAACAAAGTGGGTAGTAGGGTTTAGGCATTATAGAAGCCGCAAAAGAATCTCCTCCTTTGCCTACTTCTCCTACCACCACTTTCAATAAACAGTAGATACAGTACCACTCATCAATCTCTCTTAACTTATATCAGTCGGTGACTCTTTTTTGTAAACACAGATTCTGACACATATATCAGGTAAATAGTTTGAATCACTTTTACCTCTAAATGGCATTACAACATTTTTGTAACACCTGAAAACATAAAAATTTAGTACACCTTATCATCATTACAATATATGAAACATGACCAAAGCTTATAACTTTGAGCGTTCTTGACAAATCTTTCCTCCTCCCTGCATATAAAAGCTAGAAATTTGAGCGTGACCAAAAGCTGTTAAAATTGTAAACCATAGCATAAAAAGATTGAATTTTTAACATACCCATTGAATCAAATTAGTAACCAATCGTTACTAGAAGACACAAAAGCTTCAATTTCATCAAGAACAGAGCTAAATTTTGGCCTGTCCTTAACCCTGACATACAAAACGCCGTCGTTTTCACCAAACTCAGACATCCCACACTTGCCTCTCTTCTCCCACAACCTCTCACCAAATCTACAATGAGCAAAATAAGCCTCCGCTAAAACGACGCCGTTTGATTCTTCCTCAATGACCTCAATCGCTAACCTCTCGTAGTGTTTGACTTTAATCCCTTCCAATTCATCTAGACGTGCAAGCCCAAGTTTCGAAACAGAGTAAAGCTCGCCCCGGATCTTTTGACCCGACCCGGGTTTGTTGATCAAGTAAGGGATCCCGTAAAGACCCGTAACGAGCGGGTGGTTTAACCGGGTCGTGCGTTGACCGATGAAAACGGCGTCGTTTTTTGAGATCAGATCTTCTAAGAGGAAATGGTTTGCGTGGTTTCGTTTTAACGTACCGTACACGAAAACGAGGTTCTTGTGTGCTTCTTCTCCCATGGCGATGAGAAGTTGTTGGATGACTCGGGATGAATGTAACTTGGTGTTCTGACTCAGGAAGATATGTTTATTTTTCCTCGCTTGTTATGGGCTTTGATTTGGTCTATTGGGCCTTTTAAAGCTTTCATGGTTTTAAAATAATTATAAATGAGCCGAAATAACTAGACTCTAAATGGGCCGAAATCACTAGACTGTCCCGATGGGTAAACAGGGTTGGTGCCTTGGTGGTGTCTCCATTGACATCATCAACTTTGGTATATATTATAGACAAAAAAAAATTATTACTATAAAAAATTCTTTACTACTTTAATAATCATCTTGATGTTTTATTACATAAGACAAATTATTATATTTTTATTGGGATTTTCATAGTTTTTATAATAATATCAGATTTTTATTTAAGAAAGATATAATAGTAAAACTATTTTTATTTTCTCTCATATAATTTATGATTTGTGGTAAAGCAACAAAGGAAGTAAAAAACATATTAATCTGATCTATCACTTGTTGCAACAACATTTGTTTCCGAAAAGAGAAGAAGTTAAACATTTTTCGGATGAGAATCCAGCTTTCCTACAATCATCCGCACATTTACCGTCTCCGTACGTTGCAGAACAAGTATTCTTGCACATATCACTGATTCTTCCCATAGGTTTGATCTCTGCATGTTCACAAAGTCACCATACATGAATATCATATATGATTATATAAATAAATGTTCTTGCTTTCGAATGATGTGAAACCTACTTAGAAAACAATAACATAACAATAATAACTTACCTGAAGCCAAAACATTGTAGTTGGAAAAAGAAGTGGCAATTATAACCAAGAGCAACAAAGTCATGGAAATCTTTGTGATGCCCATTTTTTTTCCTTGAAGTCTATAAAATCTATTGGAAAAATATGTTTTTCTGATTTTTGTATGATTTGTAAGTAAAAGCTCTATTTATATAGACTATATAGATTTTTGTGATTGCCAACAAGAAGTTTATAATTGATTTTTTACTATTGATGGATTCCAAATATATTAAAAATATTTTATTTTGACTAAATATTTTTGTAAACGTTGGTGCATGGATCCATCTTCCATATATACTAAAAAATATTTTTATCCTGACTAGAAAATCTTCTTTTCTTTTTCTAATTTGTTTTTGAAAAAGGTTGATTTGGATGAAGAGCCTATTTGTGTTTTGAAGATATTCTTCTTTTCTTAAACAACTCATCATATTGAATTTGACACAACTACATTGGTGCTATCTTGTGTTTATAATTAAGTGATCACTGCTGATTCGGTGTCTTCGATACCATTCTGTTTCTGTATATGGAGTTATGGAGTAGGGTTGATATCCAAAACACTGCATAGCTCAATATATTGGACCTTGTTCAGTATAATATACTTAAACGGACATAAATGGACGGACATAAACGGACACGGACGTAAACGGACTGGACAAGTCCATGATAACATCCCTAAGTATATATATGGGCCTTAATTGTTAAAACATAGATATATAAAAACAATTTAAACTCTGAAAGTTTATGCATATCAATTATTCTTTCTAGTTTCTACAGTTTATTATAATTCAAGATATGAAACAGTTTTGCTAAAATATTATAGGGGCTATCAGCTTGTTTGTTTTGTTTCTTTTTTTTTCTTCCGTTCTTGGTACATGCCTAAAGACCAGGCCAAGTCACACTAGCCACTCGTCAATCCATTCACAAGTCACTACCACCATAAGGCATAAGCATCACTAGTACCAATTATACCCATTGCTAAAACATAATAAATCTAGAAGCATGCATGTAGTGACTCCACATATCAGATCCTAGTATCCTACTGCCAATAGAACATACAAATAATGTTGTGTACACTCCCTGTCAATATCTAAAAGATATTTTCGTTAATAATTTAGATGATGAATTATTTACATAAATTAATGTATTTAAGTGGTTTTTAAATTAATTTTTTTTGTCGATTGTGGCTTTAATTAGATGATAGTGTGACTGATTGTGACACAATACTCCACCAATGAACTCAGATAACTTTTGTGGTTTCCGAAGAGCGAAGAGGTCGGCCAAATTTTCTTGGATTTGAAAAACCAATCAATCAGTGTTGGAAGAACGAATCAGATTTTATTGGTTTTCATTGTCCTTTTAACAGTAGTAGCACACACACTAGCACCACTTTCTCATTATATATCACACATTTCTACGTTTTAGTCTAGTCACAAGAATTATTTCAAAAGATAACGGATCGACTTCAAAATGTTTTATGTGTAGTTATAGATTTAGGAAAGTGACTTTTTCAAATATTTTGTTATTTGTTATTCTGTATATTTTGTTTTCTAAAAAGATTTATATATGTACAGTCCCAATTATGTACTAAACAAACATAATACAGTATAATAGATTTGATTGGTAACACAAAGCAGTACCTAAATAGTTTAAAACAATACAAAGTACTGCAACCATACAAAAATACCAATCATAAACTTTGTATAACCAGTGTAGAGAACCGCATTACTCTGCTAAAGTACTTGCTCATTTTATTTTGAAATTTATAATGACAATATGTTTTCCTTCAAATATTAGATGATTAATGTGATTTCTTAGTCAATTCAACTAAACTCGATAAGTTATAACCTATTTTTCTAGAGTAAATATATCTATCCATAAAAAGTTTAAAAACACACCAAAGACCCCTAAAAATGGAGTGGCACTTGCATCACTAGAACCTGTTCGTTCGTAACGGCACCACCAAGGTTTAGATGAATGTTAGACCTTTTTGAACGCATGCACGACAAAGAAACGTTTAGGTGAATGTTGGACCTTTTTGAACGCGTGAAATTTTGAAACCCTAACATTTTACACTACTCTCTCTCTCGTCTGGTCACTCGTGTGTTAGGAAAAAAAGAAAATTGCCGTGCAAAGGAAGATGTGGTCCGTACAGAAGAAAGACTTCAGAAATGTGAATTGGTGTGTATAGTCAAGTCAACAGCTGACTCCAAACAAAACAATTCTACGGTCAATGCCGGTTCACTCAACCAGTTTATATGCATCACAATCATTAGTCATATTATAGTTTCACTAATCATATATTATTAGTAGTAAATTTCACTAGTATTCATTGTTTGGTTATATCGAAATTAGCAATTTTTGCGATCGGTTAAAAATATAAAAAAGAATAATACAAAAGTGAAAATTGTGTGGGAAAAAGGCAAAGGATGGATATTTCTGGGTCAGATATGGCGTGCCGTGTCTCATTGCTTCCCTTTTTTTATTTTATTTTTTTACAATTATGTTTTAAATACGTTATCTAGATTTTTCTAATAGGGCCAATCCATTTCCTCGATGATATTTTGTGTTCTTTCTCCTTTGATATTTCTTGTTCGTTTTGTAACATATCATACCAACAAAAAAAATTCTATATTCGAAGTGAATGTCATATACATGTGTGTATGGCCTTTCAGATCTAAGGACATAGTTGATGGTCTGATTCATGACATTAGCACGCTTACTTACTTGTCATGCCAGTAAATGTTTCTAAGTATACATGTTTCATGGAGGTTATTTAGTTAAGTAATTAACTTCGTAATTAACGTGATATTTAATCCGTCGGAATCAACTCAAAAATAACCTGAGTGTACCAATATTTCCTTGAATTTTATGAAGTCTTTTTCTTCTTAATTTTTTCCTATTTTTTGATTTTTTTTTCTTCATAAATAAAATTTAACCTTTGATCTTTTCCCGACCAAAGTTATAAAATTAGAACTTTAATCCAAATATAATTCATATTTATTAAAAATATTCTTTAGTTTATAATTTCTTGTCACTAATTGACCGTTGTTAAATTCATAATTCATATATATTAACCAAACATAAAAAATTTGATTATAACCTTTAATGAGTTTTTAGGAATAGAATCATGGAACCATAGTATAATATTCTTTTCTTAAACGATATTTTCAGTTTTTTTTCTTAATTGTTGAAACCTACAACATTAGTTTTTTTTATTAAGAAAGAATATTAAATTTTGTACCCACAAAATTTGATTGCAACATAGAAAACTAGTAGTTATTAAAATTGTATTACATCAAGGAGGACGGTATTAGTTTAAACCGAACTTCCCTTTCAAGTGATGCATGTTGGTATAGTTAGTATTGACTTTGCAACTTAATTTTCCTAATTAATGGATTAAATTCAAACATCAGCACAAACCAAAACACTAAAACACAAAAGAGCATTGTACAATCACTCATTTTTAAACCTAGATTTGTGCAGTAATCTCCTCCTGATTTTATTAAATCAATGAACAAAACATATATGGATTAGGTTTAGATCTCCAAATTAAGAAGCTTATCTCTGTTTATAGCTCTACGTAACTAATTCATACAATTACAAACGTCGGTCATTTGCTTGACATCACACTCTTTCCAACTCATTCTTATGAGTTTATGAGTGAGCATATAAAAAAAATTAATAATTAAGCCTTTTAATGTATTAAAATCATAAATGATGTTTATGAACTTTTAAAAAGATAGCTTTGCATCGCTGTCACATTGAGTGAACGGTTAGGTGAACGGATATTTGATTTTATTATAATGACTTAATGAGATTGGATATAATTAAGATAAAAATGTAATCTTTTATTTTTCTGAACACAAAATGCATCCATTTTCATATATTCAAATCATTAACCTGTAGATCTAATTTGCTGATTAATTCCAATTAAAAAATTTTAACAAGAAAAGGAAAACAACAGTCAAATTAAAACATCTTTTATTTGAAGTTGGTAGAAATATATTTGGGAGGCAACACAAACACTTTAAAAAGTCGACATTTTTTTTTGAAGAAAATTCATTTATTTTCTAAATGTTGAATTTCAACTATAATCAATGACCATATATCAAAAAGGGGAATAGAGAGATAAACTTTGAACGGTCGATCGATTCACTAAACATTCAAGATCTTCGAGATGAACTGCTGAAAAAAAGAAAGGGTGATAGAGAGGAGTTTTCCAAGTTTTAACTAAACTAAAGAAACTCGAAATGGAAACCTACACTCTTTTGAGTGAGAAACGTAGTAGAGAAGGAGTTTTCCGTAATCTGAAATTTGAATTTGTTTATTTTCTAAGAGATTATCTAATATGATGGCTATTCCTAAAATTTATGCATGAACAATAATATCTTGATTTTGTGAAAAGTTACTGATATAGTGAATAATAAAGATCAATTTTTTCAATAAAAGGCTAAAGTCTATAACTTTGTAAATATATAGCACAATCATATTCAAAAATTAAAAACATGAAAATCTATTGATCTTGTAAATGATAAAAATAAAAAGTTAGATTTTCAAGATAAAAACATAAATAATTGGTACACTTTTTAACCAAAAAAGTTATAAAAAAAACAGTAAATCGAATCAAAACGTGGCGTTAAATAATATTAATTCATCTAAGAGGCGTTTTTAATGATATTGTTTGCAACGTTGTCAAAATATTATTCGTTTAGAAATAATTTTCTTTTCCCCTAAGAAAATTGAAAGAACCTTTAAACTATCATTTCTGTATAATTTTAAAAGCACCAAAATTCATAGAAATTTTCAAAAGTATAAAAGGTGGGATGGGATACGAACATTAATTTTTTATATCAAAATATAGCAAAAATCATATTGAAAAATTAAAACATAAATTTATTGAAATTGAGAATGATAAAAAATAGCAACATTATATATTCAACTTGTACACTTTTAACAAAATAAAGGCGCACCATTAATAATCTTTCTGATATGTAATGATTTGTAAACCCCAATTTTTAAAAAAATAGAGAAAGCACCTTGTAAAGAAACAAAAGCAACATGTAAATGGGATTGAAAATAGATATGAGATGTCAAATTGCAATAATGGAGCAAGAACTTTCTCAACACAACAAATCAAACTTTTTCAAAAAAAATAAAAAATATCACAACTTTTTCAGCAATGGATTGATAATGTAGTAATCAAACTCTTAACACCCGATCAATGTGATGACTATATAACTAACACTAGTGTATTCATTTTTTTAGGAAAATAAACAAAACCAAAGAATAAAATTTGACGAGATTCATTAAAATAATTAGTGAGAGAGATAAGACCAAAGAAGGACAGAAAAGATATTTTTATAAAAATACCCAAAAGAAAAAAGAAATAACGAAAAATCAAATTAGAAAATTCCAAGGAAAGACCAAAGGGTGGTTCCTTGAACCCAACGCTTCTAGGCTCGGGGATTTAGGTTCGGAGTTAGGTTCGGAATATATTCTAGTCGACATTGGGAGAGGAGATAAGAAGGTGGACTCTTTCTCCTTTGCTCTTCAGACTCTTTCTCTGCAAGTAAAAGATACCAATCTCTCTCTCTCTCTCTCTCTCTCTCTCTCTCTCTCTTTCGCTTTCTTTAAACCCCTTTCTCTCTCTAAAAACCCATCCTTTTTTAAGTAAAACTTTGTGGTGCTGACTCGAGTAAAGGTTCGGTCTTTTACTGCATTCTGAAATGGCGATTGAAGATTACGAGAACCCAAATCGAGAAATCAAACCTAAGAACAGAAGATTCATGGTATTTTTAATCATTAACCCTTTTCTAGATTATCACATTGTTGAGACTCTGTTTTGTCCTCTGTTGTTTGCATTGTCTGCTCTTTGTGTTCATACGAATCTTATACTCGTTTAATTTTCAATTCTACGATATGGGTTTTGATTGATTTTGAGTTTTTTTCACTGTAAACAAGAAAAGTTGTGTTTTTTTCTCCGTCATTTTCGTTTTCAGATGTTCAAATGCTCTGTTTTGGTGTAAAGAACAATGCGCTGTCGTTGTTCTTGGAAGAATCAAAACGATGGGTTTTTGAAAATTTCAATCTTTTCGTCATTATTGATTCAATAACTTTACTTTATCTTCTGTGTCACGAAGAAACGAAGCTTGAAAGCGTTTGAATAATGTAGTTGGTAGATTAGGGCTTTCAAATTGGGGGAAATGGAGAAGAAAGACGAATCTTTTGGATTAGTAATAGAATCTTCTTCGAACTAGATTCACGGCGTAGTATTCGATTCCGTAGTTATCGCCGTTCAAATCTCTTTTGTTTTTTTCTTATATATAAAACTTTAAGAAACTGAATTTATTCTGCAAGAAAAGTTTTGGGGATTCATTGTGATCTTTTGGTTGCATGATTATAAATTGTTATTGGTAAGGAGTCTTCTCAAGTCAATGTAAAGGAGGAGACTTTTAATAATGTTGAAGTCAATGGTGTTTCTGGTATAGATTATAACTTAAAAATGTTTTTAAGTTCTTTGGGATAATGGCTAATGAGTTATGTTGTTAATGGTGTTTGTAGGGAGCTGGTGGACTTAAGGACGAAGATATTCAATGGCCGTCATGGCTGAAACCTTTACTAAAAGAACACTTTTTTGGTCAATGCCAGTTTCATGGAGACTCACCTAAAAGCGAATGCAATATGTATTGCTTAGACTGTACCAATGACTCGCTTTGTTCTCTTTGTCTTCCTCACCACAAGAACCATCGTACCATTCAGGTGTGTTTTGTATTTTGCTATCCAAAGTTCTGTATATTGTTTCTTTTTCTCGGGTTTGAATGTTAAAGAAGTTCTTTGGATTGCTGCAGATAAGGATATCATCTTATCATAATGTGATAAGGGTTAATGAGATACAGAAGTATTTGGACATATCAAGCATTCAGACATATGTGATAAATAGCGCAAAGGTTTTGTTCTTGAAACAGAGGCCTCAGCCTAGGCCTGGTAAAGGGTTTCCTAATACCTGCAAGGTCTGTGATCGTGGCCTTGCTGAAAATTGCTTCCGCTTCTGCTCTATTGGCTGCAAGGTACATTCATCTACCTGCATTCCAATTACTACTTCTTGCTTGTTTTCTGATATGGAATTGAACAAATCTATGAGCAAATTCTTCACACTTTAAGCATCTATTACCAAACTTATAGTTAATTTCGGCAGAAAAGCTTTTGATACTTTTGAATATAGTCTTGTTTTTGTTTCACATTTCTATAATTTTGAGATGAGTCTTTCTTCTGATAAACTTCTTCTGTGTTTTTGGCTATTGAATTAAAAGGTTGCAGGAACATCTGGAAGATTCGAGAAGGGAGTGAAGCATCATAGACTGAATGAATCAGAGGATTCAAGCAACAGTTCTGGTGTAGAGAATGAAAGTTCCGAGAATGACAATTCAAATCTGCAGAGTTTCATCCCACCAACACCTCAATTCCCTCCTGGTTCATTCCGAAAGCGACGAAGAAAGGGAATTCCTCACCGAGCTCCACTAAGTTGAGACTGGATCAAGAAGAAGTTTTTTGTTACGTTTTCAGGGCTCTTTAATATATATATATATAGAGACCTCTCTTCCAAAAAAAAGTTGTATAGCTATATAGAGGCAGGGTTTTTACTTTCTTTCAAGTGTATTATTATACACCAAAGAAAGGCCTTAAGATAGTAGTATGAAGTAGTCAAATAACTAAGTAAGTGTATATATAAGATACAATATCTTTATCTTCCTTGTAAAGTTTTAGTGTGCTGCAATGAGCCTAAACCAGTGAGTGATATATATGATGGTGTTCATAGACTACATAACAATAACATATAGAATACGGTTTAGACATTTAGTTTCACAAACGCAAACCAAATAGATTATACATCCAGTTACAGCAAATGTTCTGGTAGTTGCAGATTAATAAAAAGGACTACAGAGGCCAAAACGTAGAGAAACTAAAATACAGGAATCAAATAAATTTTCAAATTCCTCCAAGTTTTGCCGCTAAACTTCACTTTCTTGATCATGTATAACCCTGCTTGTACTTCCTGAATATATCCTCAGTTTCGGCATTTCGGAACGCGCAGCACCCGATAATGTAAACGATTATCAATCCGATTAGCGTCAAGAGGAGAAAGATATCAGCTTTTAACCAATCTACCTTAATGTTTGCGAGCAAACCGGCTTTACAAGAATCACAACTGTAACACAAAGTGTTTTGATCATTGCTCCATTGTAGACAGTCCATATCAGCTGACATATCTATAGGACTTATCCAATAAGTCGGGTTTACGAATGTGAAACCACATTTTGTTGGGGGCTTGCAGCAACCAGACTGAAAATAAAGAAACGGGGTTAGATTTTGAATAAAATATAAATACTGGGGCAATAAAAAGTTGTACCGCGTGGCTGATTAAGTGCACCTAGTGGAAGAATCTAGAAAAGTTGGGCAGTTTTATAATTTTTTATTAAAAGGTTAAAACTTTCCCAGTTTTTGTTCCCACAACAAGCCTATAAGCTAAGAATCATTACTAATTTATTATTTCTTTTACTCATCCACCTGTTCTTTTCTTGGCCACTCGATTTCCCCCTGTACTTTTTTTTCTATTCAATTTACACCCTTGGATTTAAAATTAAACAAATAAAGAGAAAGTGATATCTTCATAATGAACTTGAGATTTAATCAAAAGAATATACTTTTCAGTTTTTTCTTAGACAAACCTAACAAGCAATGCACCAATATTATCTTCCAATACCACCCCTGTTCTTTTCTTGGCCATTTTACTTTCACCCCCATACTTTTTTTCTAATCAATTTACACCCTACTTTTTCTTGGCCATTTGAGTTACATTGTTCATAGCAAAAACCAAAAAGAGGACAAAAGCTTGAAAAAAGTGCAAAAGAAACTTACTTGAATGGGATCAAGATGAGCATTGAAGAAATCTAGAGCCGTAGTGAATCTCTGGTTTAGTTCAGTGCAAACAGTAGTAGTACTCAAACAAGTACGGATCCTTTCCCATTTATAAGATCTCTGAACTCTTCTACGTAACCAACCAGAGTAATCTTGAAGACTATACTCAAGATAAGCTCTACTTGGTTCTGGATGACCAGCTCCTCTTATGGTAACCATGTAAATAAACCCGACAAGAACACCAAGAAGTACAATGAGAACAAGCATGGCGATTAAGTAAATAACAAGAAGCCATGTGATTCTCCAAAACCCTCCAATGAAACCTGCTAGACCAACTAGGAGGATCAAGATTCCGAGAATTATCACTGGCCACTGAAGGAGCTTGACGCAGGAGTTTACTGTTCCCATGGCTAGCCAGATTCCGGCGCCGATGACCGGAATAGAAAGGAGGACGGAGATGAAGTTGATGCAGCCGATTACATTGTTGCTCATAGGCATCTTTTTCTTTGGGGGAGAGAGGAAACTTTAAACTCTGTTTTTGTGTTCTTGAAATGAATTTTAGGGTAATAACTTAGAGAGAGGGAGAGAGATAGGGTTCAAAATAACAATACAAGAGAGAGAGAGAGAGACAGAGAAAGATAAAGATTCACATGTGTGAAAAGTGAATAATGTTGTATAAATATATATTTTAAATTTGAGGGGATTTAGGGTAATGGTAATAAACTAATAACTAGCTAGTAATAACTTAAGAGAGATATAAAGATTTAGATGTGTGAAAATGAATCATGCTATATAAAAAAAGGAATTAACTATTTGTAAAGGAAAAATAAAAAAGTGAATTTATCATTTCTTAAATTAGGTATATTTTGACTTATACCTTTCTTAGAAAGAGGAGAAAAAATCAAAATTAATATAGATTACGTTTTTGAAAGTATATTTTATTATAATTAGTGCATAGTTTTCAAATTTTGTTTAGCAAAAGTGAGTTGAAGATAGTGTTAATTTTAATGAGATTTTATTTTTTGTTAAATTTTTAATGAGTTGATTATAAGAAATTTTTGGGAAGATGAGTAGATGACACAAAAAAATGACAAATAAACAAAATGTTAGTTTTATTATGCTTCCATTATTATTGTATTTAAGATGAGTAAAATATAAGCACTTAAAAATTTACCAAAATTATATATTTCTGTTAATAAATTAAACAAAAATCTTTAAAAAATAATTTTAATAAGCATTTTATTAATTTGAAAATCTTTTGGTATTGTTTAAAAATGTGCTCATCAAAAGGGGCATTTTTAAAATTGTCCCGTTATAAATCTTGTTTAACATGTTGATTACGTTCAAGATTTTATAAATTATGAACAAATTACACTGATTACATTTTATAGGTCATTCTTCTTAAGTGCTGCACAAAGAGCTTTAATGTGGGGATTGTTTACAAAGAACACAACAGCCGACTAGGGAATCTTACCAAAATAAATTTTCTATGTTATTTTCAAATCAAATAATCTATAATGGTACATACTAATCTCCTTTTACATGTAGCATTAATTGTATATTTGTTTATATATGCATGCATACAGAACAAAAACAAAATATATATTTGTTTCCATTGTAATAAACAACACAATACCTTCCTCGAACGAATCAGATAGTATATGATAAAAATGTGAACCGGTTGACCAAATTCACATATAGTCCAAAAGAGACATGACAAAAGAAAAGAATTATTGTCAATAGTTCAAATAAAACATTTGGAGATAATGAAGCGAATCTTTATTACGTGAAGAAAAGTCAAGATTTCAACTCCTTTGTACGAGTACAAGATCATTGGCTTTCGAGTGGAGTAGAAAATCATAATAAACACTGAACAAAAATTACAAAATAAAGAAAGACAAAAATGAAAAATGATCGTGTACGAGAGACTATGAGTTTTGAGTCCTATGAGTGCTAGATATGCAAAAGCAGCAAAACAAAGCCCATACCAAAAACTATTAATATGGGCCATAACAAAAAAGGGTGCATCAAATAGAGTCGTTGTTGATGTTGATTGGTAATTTGGTTTAGTGGTGGAACATAAGCACCATCGAACTTGCAATGATGGAATGTGTCTCAAAATCTTTGTGTAAAAACAGTAGATTTAAACTAATTTATCACATTATGATTTACATACGATAACACCACGTAGAATACTTCGTTAAATTTGATCATTTGCATGTTAGAACTTATAATCTTAAAATGGAATTTTTATATAGAAGAAAAGCTTACAAAGATGTTTATGACTACTACTAGTCTACTAGAATCCAAGATCAAGAGCATATCTGAAAAATGTGATGATTGATAAATAAATAAATAAAATTCAAAGGCAACACAAAGTCACAAGTGTACTAATTTGATAACTTACCATCAGAAAAAACGCATAAAAAGATGAGTAAAACAACTAATATATTATGTGCCATTTATATAATCCACATAATTCACATTTGTAGCCTTTACAAAGTCAGAAAAGAACCTAGGAAATAAGTAAGCTTTCTTTATTCTGAACTAAAAATGTTAAAAGAAAGAACCAAAAAAAAAAAAAAAAAGATTACTTCAGAGAGAATGAGTGGCATTTGTGTGATTTAAGGAGAAATCGAAAGGTAATTCTGACATTGATGAGCAACAAATAGGCTCCTCTTCAATGATACTTAGCATGTGGTGAACTGCTCCTGCAATGTCATCTACTGAACTTAGCTGGCAACTCTCTTCCACCTTTATATAAATCCAATTCAACAACAAAAAAATGATATAATTTTTACAATTTAAAAACCTAAAATAACATTATGTGAAAAATATATAACTCTCATGTGGCAATAATTGAACCTGTTTTCAAGAAATAGGTAAAAAAATAAGAAAAATGACTCCACCAAGTATGGTAATAAATGTTGGACCAAATCTAGCTAAGTGTTCATAGACATTCCTTTTATATCCTCTGTCCCTTGGACCGCACATAATCTACCCGTCTAGCTTTAAATTCTCAACATTACATTCTCAATAACACCCCTCAATTTCGGTTTAATCCGGTTCAATATCGTTTCATGTATACTACTAAGATGATAACAAGAACTATATAATAACCCTATAGTAGCATTTGAAGTTTTGAAGTACTAATCATGTTAACTTGATAGGGTTTTAGTTTATTACCTTAGCGCTGATTGAATAAATAGCATAAGTGTCCAATGTTGTGACACTAAGGTGAAGAACGGAGAGGGAAAGAGATTGAAGAGCAGCCACCAGCTTGGAAAGCTGTGGTGGCCTTGTAGTGGACATTGTGTTCCAGTGGAAACCTCTCCTTCTCGACAAGATTCTGATGTTAGCATGAGTTTCGATTAGAGTCACCTCGAGATCTTCCATAGGGGTTTTCACCGAGCTTGTTGAGCCGTTCCTGTTCTCTTGGCTCGGATCATAGGGGTGAAGAAAGAACTGTGATAGAGATAGTGATGAAGACTGTTGATGAGGATTCTCTTGTTCGCCGTTTGAGTCTTGACTTGTTGATGAAGTTACCGTTTGGTTTGATTTAGCATTATGAAGCTTTTGAGCTTCAAGAGATAGTAATTTGTGTTCAAGTTCTTTGATGAAATCTATGGCTCCTCCTACTATTGAAGCTTGATCACCCTTTCATGAAAAAAAGAAACCACCAAAATAATGAACATACACATAAAAATCCAAATATTTTTTCTATAGATAAAAATAATAATACTTTTTAAAAGAATTGGCCATATATAAATATTGAAACTCAAATAGAAGATTATATTAAAACCTTTAGAATGAATCTTTTTAAAAAAAAATAGTTGAAAATTTTAATATTTCTAATGAATTCTCAATTTGAAACCCTAGTTGAAATTCTCAAAACTTCTTTTAAAAAAAGATTATGAAATTTATCTATGAAAATTGAACCTTTTGAGAAAAAGGTTGAGGCATGAGAGATCGTAAGACAGAGAGATGTTGATTCATTTGTCTTCTCCTGTTTCTTTCGACGGCAATGTGAGTCATTCGTTGATTCTCAGCTTCTTCTTCGTTTTTGCAAACCCTAGGCTTCCTCCTCCTCCGCTTCTTCCCTCGGTTAGCCGCTTGCGGTTGTCGCTGTGGCCGTGGTGGTGGCGGTGGCAGTTCTTGATTATGAGATAACTCCATAATAGTGTTCTTGGATAAGATGAAATCATTATCCGGCAGTGGCACGAGATCATCAACGAGTGACTTGAATGGAGTTGGTGAAAGAGTCTCTGCAGAGAGCAAAAAGTTTAAGAGACCATTTGATGATAAAGCTTCTAGAGTCATTGCTCTTTCATTCCCTTATTGAATTACTAAGTATCATTGATTTATATAGCAACACTCCAAATCTTTAAATTTATTGTATTTGAAAGAGATTATATAAAGTTTTTAAATAAAAAAATTGTGGGCGAAAACGACATTTTTCGAGAAAATAAAAGGCAATGATTAAAAGAGAAAAAAGAAATGACAAATGCTGAAGCTATATGATGCTATGAGTGTGTGTACATATGTGAGACATTATTTGATTGTGATCGGTACTATCATGGAAGGGTTTTGATTATCAACTTTGCTGAATGACATATACTTTGTAATAGGTTTTGAGTATTGATAAAAACATGCATCATAATCACATAAATCATTTTCATGTTTCCACATATCTTATATCAGTTTGTAACTCTAAAACCTAAATTCTAAAGAGGAAGAGATGTATACAAAGATCATATGATTTCTCAATATACAAGGAAATAGTCATCTTCGAAAATGATAAAATGTATGAGTTTGGTTTTCCAACTCATAGTGTATAATATAAAATGCGTATCCATATAGATGAGAAAAGGATATGAGAAGGAAGAAGAGCAATGGAGTGCTGGTGGCACGTGAGATGGGTCAGATAGAGTCTAAGGTCTTGTTATTTTCTCGAAACTGTGAGGACCATTCTCTCTTTTTTTTTTCACTTAATTACCCTTTTTACTAACCTAAAAACCTCTAGCCTTTTTACATTTTTCGATTTATGATTCAACCCAAAAGAAAAAAAAAGTCTTTGCAACCCCCTAAAGAATCCCATATCATCATACAGTTTTGTTTTAAAAAAGAAAATAGAAGAACCATTGCTAGTTAAACTAGTATACAGTTTTGTTTGAAAAAAAGAAAATAGAAGAACCATTTGCAACTAACATACATAATTCTTGTTAGTTGCAAATTTGAACACAAATGTTTGCATGTCGAAATCATAGAGTTGCGGAAAATCTCCGTGATCGATGAATATCATAAGAAAAACTTGTTCGGAGTTTCAAAACTTTTAGAAACCGTTACGAAAACCTAAATAGTTACGATAATTTAGGGATTTGGTGGAGATATGGTTTGGTACTTGGTAATGTTATATCAAACTTACATAAATGTATAGGAACACAAATGCAACATAATAAGGAAAATGTGTGGTATGGTACATTCGATAAAAGAAAAGAAGAAGTGAAAAACTCAAATCACATAAATGGTCTCACCAAATTCCAAATATTGGACTCAAGAAGAGGAAAAAACAAATGGGACCAAACCGGTTCGGTATGTAGCAATGTTGGACCGTGGGGACCGGACAATAACATACACAAAAAGAGACAAATGAGTGCTGGAAGAAAGCAAAATTTCACATTGCTATTTATATTTTTCTTCTTGAATAATTTTTTTTTTTTTTTTGTGATATAAGTATTATAACATATATCTATATAATAAGATGTTTGTATATGTTATGATATTGGGAAAAGTGAGTAATAATTAATTGCAATTGTATGCTTATAATTAAAAAAGGACTGTCTCCATTTCATCAGTCAGTTTTGTTTGCACCTTACAAAGGACCAGAAGAGAGAACCTATGAACAAAGTAAAATACACAACCCGTGATTTTTATTTTTATTTTTTCTAATTTCTCTATTCATTTTTTTATTTATTTGGTTTTTTTTACTTTTTAACTATCTGCACATTTCTGATACAAATTGTCATCTCAAAAACAAAAAACAAAAGACGTTATTAACTTTCACGAATTAGACAATAGCTCCGGACACAAGATCTATCAAATATTTTTGGTAACAGAAACAAAACACTCCATGCAAAAATTCTACAGTTGATAATTTATACAAACCTATATTAACGACTAATATAATTAGAGACTTCAACTACTAAATTTGTTTTTATTCGTTTAACACTCAACCATGGCCGTTGGTCTGTAAAAAAACAAAAACGAAAAAATGTTAACTTTCACGAATTTGACAATTTCAAACGAAAATCCAACAATATTGGCTTTTAGCATTTAAAAATCCAAGCTTAGGAATTAAGAAATTTATATAGTTTTGGATATTTAGAAGTGAAAAGTCAATCATATAATTGGAGAGCAAACTAAATCATATAAAGGAAGTGGTTTATTTTTTCAAGAATCAGATGAGTACAATATTTGAATACTTATATTGAAATATATATAATTTACCAAATATTAAATTTTAATGAATACTCCATCTTTAGTTATCGTTTTAGAGAAAATTTATTTCATGTTATTTTTAAATTTTCAGTGTAGATGTTTGGTAAGAATTCTTATTTTATCTTAATTATTTTACTTTTTAACTAAAAAAAATTGGAAAATATAATAAAAATCAAAATTCAAATTTTAATTTATTTTAAAATTTCTGTGAAAAAACTTTAAACGACAACCAATTTGGAAGGGAAGGAGTATTGATTTAATTTATTTGGTTCGGTTGCGATAGCTAATTAGTCTCCATTTATAAGTTGATTAAACCTGAACTATAGGTTTATAAATAAATTTTTTTTTTAAAAAAACCTGAACTATAATCTCAAAATTTCTTTGACAAGCAACAATGACCGTTTGCTTACAAGTTCCAACGTCTCTATATCTAATATCAAGATTTTTATCTTGAAGATTCCTGTGAATGTTTGTTTTTTTTACAGCCAAGAAAACGTGTCTACTCTAATCTGATTCGTTGCATCAGCAAACAAACACGTGTTCATGTCTCTTAACACTTCTGAAAGCATCATCTCTAACATGCAATACATCTTTGTACTTATGTAGAGAGCTTAAGAGTAAAATATAAAGTGTATCATATTTACGAAGTCCGAGAAAAGAGAGAGACAAGAACAACAAAGAGGACGAAGAGCAGAAACTGTTGTTTTGTCAGATTTGTCCACGTCGAGAGACTAGTAGACTCAGTCTTATCTTTTAGTCCTCTCTGCACTACATAAATTTTCTTACTGTTTTCTGTTAAAAACAAAGAAACCCATATAGTAAAAAGTCGTATAGAGAAGAAGGTTCAAAGTTCAAAGATTAGCTTTTTAACTGCCTTCAGACTTCAGACTTCAGAAGCAGTCAAGCAGCACATGAGTAACATGGCTTCCTTTGGGACCATTGGTTCCAAAAGTGGCGTCTTTGGGGTCATTTCTCTGAAGTTACTTTGGTCTCTTAAATAACTCTAATCAAATAACTACATTAAACACCAAAATTATACACTTAGCCAAAAATAATTTTAATCAAATTAGCCCTATTGTTGTTCTTGAACAAGGTTTGGTTAATATTCTTTAATTTTCATGCGGGCTTTGTCCGATGACCCTTAGGCTCATGGATGAATCAGTAACTTTTCTTCTATAAGATACTTTCTACAGTCTTTAAGGATACATTAGTGCATTGCATTCAATAGCTGCTTTGATTTTGATATGTGTCTTCCTTGCTGCCTGGTAAGATACCGTCTCCCGTAAACCGGACAACACTGCTCGTCTAGCCGATGACGGAATCTTCATACCTTTATTGTAACAAGACAAGAGCAGCTTCGAAGCACATACGAGCTGCCCATCTTTGCATAGATTATGCACAACGGAAGTATAAGTGAACTCATCTTTAACTTTCATCGACGCAAACAACCGCATCGCACGGTCTACATGACCCGCTTTACACAAGCCATCAATCATACAGTTACAAGTGACCACACTTGGCTGCGTCCCCATCTCTCCCATACATGCCATATGCTTCTCAGCTCCTCCTGTGTGGCCTATGTTTAACAAACCATTAACTATAATTGTATGTGTGTAGTCATCAGGTTTCAATCCTTTCAGCTCAATCTCATCCAAAAGATCATCCACTGCATCCAAATTCCCATCTTTAAAATACAGATTCAACAACGTGTTGTATGAAACAATGTCTAGACTCCGTGTACCGCTTCTCACAAGCTCTTCCATACACTCGTACGCCTCCTCTGCTCTTCCGGTTTTAATCAAAGCACTAACAACCGCGCAATTCGCATACCCGTCAAACGTATGCCCTTCTTTCTTCATCTTCAAAAACAACTGAAGCCCTTTCTCAATCCTCCTAGTCTTAAAATACATTTTAAGCATCGTTGTATACGTTACCGCATTTGGAGTATAACCCGATTTCTTGAGCTCTCTCAACATCCAATTCAAAGAACCAACCCTTCTCGATTTACAAAGACCATTGATGAGAATGTTATAAGTCATAAGCTCAGGTTTAACCCGACTCTTCAGATTCTTAAACAGCTCAATCGCATTACCCGTATGCCCGCTTTTACAAAGCGCATCAAGCAGAATATTATACGTATCAACACCAGGAACAAACCCAGCTAGTTGTATATCCTCGTTAAGAATCCGAAACGCTTCTCCATGTTTCCCTAATTTGAAGTAACAAGACATCAAAGTATTATAACTCCACATATCAGGAGACAAACCTGAGTGAAGCATTTCGTCGAACAGTTGGAGTACACGAGACAACATCAATTGTTTAGCAGCTCCAGAGATCAATGAATTATAAGTAGCAACGTCAGGTTCGATACCAGCTTCTCTCATACGACGAGTAACAGCGTAAGCTTCATCGATACCAGAGAAACGAGAGTACCCTTTGATCAAAGTGTTGTAAGTGACAACATCGGGGAGAACACCTAATCTGATCGCGTCTACGAGTAACGATTCAGCTTTCTCCAAGTTACGAAATTTACAGAAGGAATCAACGCAAATGTTCATTAACTTGGTTGAGATTTTTGGGAATTTCATCAATCCACGAACCATTGTTCGAGAGATCACTAAATCGAATCCACCACATCGAAAAACAAACTTGAATTTGAGAAACAGAACTTGACGAACAAGCAAAAACATAAAAAAATGAATCTTTGTTCTTTTCACGAAACGACGTTGTATAGTGTATAGTATTAACTTGAAACGGTACCCAACGGCGTCGTTTGTTTCTCATACAATACTAATTCGAAACGATGTCGTTGTTCTTACCAACCACACTCGTAGAGTAAACGACGTCGTATAGATTCATAAGAAAAGATTCAAGAAATAAAACGACGCCGGTATACTTTGTAATTTGAAACGCTGTCGTTTAGAATATCGACGTCGTATGTATTATTATTATTCAGAAAAGTTTTTTAAATAGTAATATTTGTAATTAGCCGTGTAAAAATTAGCCGTTGTGTGATAAACGGTAACTTTGAGTGTTTGTTTGATTTGATCGAGTAACTTTGAAAAAAATTAGCCGTTGTGTGTTTTAACGGTAACTTCAACTTTAAACGGCTATATTTCTAAGTTCTCTATAAATACACATCGTTAGTGTTAAACCCAAACAACGATTGAGAAACCAAACCATTCCAAATCTTCAAAAGTCTCTGTTTTTTTTTCTTCCTCAAAAGCTCCAGTGTAAGCAAATCACAAATCATCATTATTCAAAGAAGAAAACTCTCGAGTAAGTTCTAAATCATCATTATTCATATTTTTGTTTGGGTTATGATACTAATCTCTAATCTGATACAACACTGTTTCTCTTACGTTAACCAGAATGTGGAAGACTGTTACTACGGAGGGGAGAAGAAAAAGTTGCAGACTTTGGAATTTTGTTCCAAGTAAGTTTATAAATTTCGAGTTTATGTTTTCTTCTCTAATTGCTCTCTTGCATATTTTTTTTTTGTATCGTGAAAAAAAAATCTAATTTAAGGTATTATTGTGTGTCTCTCCCTAGATGCTCTCTGATTTGTGGAAGCTGTTTCGAAAAGCCGGAGACTTTTAGAGAATAGTTTCATGATCAACTCAAATCATCTCAAACGATCAAGTACGTTTCTGAATTTGGAGTTATCTATCTGATTTTTAATTAATAGTTAAACCTGGATTAGTTTAATTCGGTAGCTTCATGATCTTGTTGATGTTGCTTTACTCGGCGTATCACTATTAGTTTAATTCTTCAAAATTAGCTATTTTTAGTTTAATATATGTTCAATAAAAAAACAGAGCCATGCTTTTTTTTGTTAAGTGGATTATTAGTTAAGTGCTTCAAATTTCAGCTTGCATGCATATATATTTTTCTTTAATAGATTAATTTAGGAAAAATGGTGTTAAATATTTGAACTAAATAATAACAAATGTTTTTGACTAGATGATTAAAAATTAACAATTTTTATATTAGACTGTGAAGAAACTAAATTATTGTGTGAAGTCAAAAACTAAATTAGTTTTTATTTTGTTTATGTAAAAAAACTACAGCTCTCTCTGATTTGTTCCAGTCGCCGGAAAAAAGTGTGGAAGTTGTTTCACAAAGACGGAGACTTATTAGATCATCTCAAACGATCAAGTAAGTCTAGAATTTGGAGTTATCTCTCGTAATCTGATTTTCAAAGTCTTGAAACCTGGATTAGTTATAATTTGGTAGCTTCATGATCTCGTAGATGCTTTAGTCGTTTTATTTTATTTTTATACATCTAAAAATTATATCGTCATTAGTTTTGTTCAAACTTGGCTATTTTCTTTTGATATGTTCATCATGTTCTAGACAAAAATAACAGAGGCTTGTTTGTTAAGTGTATTGAAAGGTTATATAAATGCTGTTATTTTAAAACTCACGTAATCGGAGATAAATACTGTTTTTGACAAGATGATTAAAATTAACAATTTATTATTAGACTGTGGAGAAACTAAATTAATTAGGGTATTATTGTGATTTGTGTGAAGTCAAATACTAAATAGCTGTTATTTTGCTATATTGTATGTTCCAGTCGCCGGATAAAAAATGTGGAAGTCGTTTCAAAACGGAGGAGACTTATGGAATGATCATGATCAACTTAACGATCTCAAGTAAGTTTTAATCAATTCTTTAACTTGGAGGTGTATGGCTTCATGATTTAGTTGATAACATTACTGAAAATTGCATTGGAATTAACTAAGGCTGTATAAATTGTTGCTATTGATATCGTTGAATTCATTAGTCAAAATTTGCCATTATCAAGTGTGATGATGATATTGGCCAAAATCTCTTTATGTCAAAGTTCATCGTGTTCTAGAAAATTAGATCCACGCATACTTTTTGCGAAGTATCTTTCTTTCTAGCAACCTAAGTGTTTTATAGTATCTCATATTGACGACTTGAATTTCACATTGCATAGATAGTTTTTTGTTTAATAGATTGATTTAAGATCATTATTATAGATATCGTACATAACGGGAAATATTTATCATAGGACATATGTGTGTGTATTCTAAGTTTTGGTGGAACAATTTGTTAACGTATTCGTCCCAAATTTACAAAAACTTTGTGCCTTTTTCGACCACACACTTACAATTTAAGATAGTGACAAATTTAGTCATTCAATATCGTTGTAAAAGAACATCAAATACCAATATGGTAAAATTAAGGGGAAGCACAATTGGCAAAGTCAGCTCTGGATTTGGGGTTTGCTCGTCTCTGGTCTCGGTTCTCAGAAAAAAGAAAGAACGAGAAATATCAGAAGGAAAGAATAGAAGGAAATGGAAATGATAGAAGGAAATGGAGTCTGCTCGGGTCTCAGGAAAAAGATTGAGATGATAGACACTGCAACTAACTTCGGCGACAAAAATAGGATACTCTGTTACTCCTTATTATATTTTGGTAACCAACCAATGAAGAAATTTTTTCTAATCAATCTCTATTTTTATGGACAGTTGATATTAATTCTAAAAGAAATTTTAAAAGGCATTCCAAAAATAATCTCAGAAAGATAATAAGTTTATATAGGCAAAGGAAATCTCCGAATCACCTATTAAAATAACATAACTTCTGAAAACCGTTTATCAAGAAATATCGACTACCATGAATAGAGATAACCCTCCTTGTATGATTAACGAAGTACCTTCGGAGTGGGATTTTTTGATAAATGGTTTATTTTTTAGTTAGGTGATAAGGTTTTTCTCCCTTTGCATAAAATTTATTATTATTTATGTGTTGTTTTTTTTAGATTCTTTTAAATGTCTTTATGATGAACTGAACTAAAAGTATTTATAGGCGGAGGGTGGATCCAATTCCTCTTAAATATTTTTTTAAGATTTAACTATTCATCAAAACAGAGACTAATTACGGAAATTTCTTTTATTACCAATTTAATGGGTTACCAAATATATTATTCTATAAATATAACTACATGACCATATTATAGGAAAATGAAAATTATTCCTTACATGTGTTAGTTCGGAAGATGGCGCCTTAGAATAACTCTACAGTTCAGACACAAGAAAATGAGTGTTTCAAGTGAAGTGGAAGACGCCACCGAAAATGCTGAAAAACATGTAGATATAGAAAATCTCGTATGATATTTTTAACTATCCAAAACCAAACAATTCTTTTCTTTTTTTTTTGGTTTCGCATCCGCCCAATATAAGGTTTAGTCGCCAACAATATATAATAAGGTTAAAAAAAAAGAAGAGTAAAAATTAACTAAAATTTGTTTGACATTAACTATTCTACTTTTTCTAAAATCATTAGAATATCTCTCTTAAACCTATCTATATAGAAATACTAAAACATTGTAAATCTTTCTTTTAACTTGCTGATTCCGCTACAAGTGATTGACCAGAAACTTCACCAAACCGTCCTCCTCTGTTCCTCATAAGCTCACCAAACGAAATACAACTCTCTGTTTGATTATTATTATGTCTTCTCATAACCTTTATCTTAACATGATCCGGTAACCTCAAAGTATACCTATCCTCTTCTTCCGGTTTATTCCTCACTATTGAATGACCAGTCGTTTTCGATCTCGAGAATTTATCCGGTAACTTCTCAATCTTCCCCTCGTTGTTACTACTTTGTCTCGACAACATAACCTCATTTGAAGTTGACGCTTCATCGCGGTTTTCATGTACGTTCTCTTGTATGACTTCGATGATCAGTTCTTTGATGTTTTCGGGCGCGTTTGGATCTAGGTTCCGGCGACATACAGGGCATGTTTTGTTAGACTCAAGCCACTTATCAATGCAATCTTGATGGAAAACATGGTAACATGTTGACAAGAGTCGAAGGAGGATGTGTTCTTCTTCGAATTCAAGAAGACAAATCGCGCATTCAAGACCGTATTTGTCTTCCCTGAGATCTTTGACTGATGAGAATGGAAACGTAGGGAAGGACTGGATGATGTGTGGCTCAAGACCAGGGTTAACTGGTGGTGGAGCGGGATTATTGTCTTGGTTTGCTTGGTTTTGATTTTCGGACAAGCCGTTGCGGTAATGGTGGTTCCAAGCTTCGGTGAGAGTGTGGAAGAAACATTTGCAAAAATAGAGAGCGAAGAAACCTATAAAGAAGACGACGAGGAGGATCACGGTTAGGATTATGACTAGAGGTGGTTTATTGTAATGTGGCGGTGGATATTGAGCAGTGTTGTTTTGATTGATCGGTTTTGCTATCGGCATTGAAGAAAAGAGTGTCGGAGATGATTAATCTCCGCCGTGAGAAAAACTGAAAACTCAATGTTTTTATTTGGTTTTGTAATATATATTACTCTTCTGTTTTAAGTTTTTTTTTTTTTTTGGAAGTGTGTTAAAATTTTTGTGTATGGTGACAATGTGAGAGAGTGTTGTGTTTGTGTGTTTAGAATTTGTTTACTAAATTTAGAAATAACTTTTGTAAGTTGTGTGTGTGATTGGTTTAAGTTGCATTGAACGAGTCTTTAGTGAACATTGTTTTGACGATTAAACCACATTAAAAAAAAAACCTCTCTACTTTTTGTGTATTTATAAATTATATAGTCTATAATATAATGTTTAGTTTTGTTGAATTATATATGTAAACATGATGCCTTTAAATAAAGTTTTAGGAATGATGAAGTGCATGAGCATGAGTCTTTTTGAAATGTGTTTTTAGTCATTAGTTATTATCGGCTTAGGAGTGGATTATAGTGATATACACATATGCATCATGGATGCTAATTCATTTACGCATGGATACTATACTATTACACCAAAAAAGGAAAAAGATTCATGTACTATATAGCATTGCTTTACACGTTGAAGGGTTAAAGAGAAGAAACTTCAATATAAAATAATTTTGGTTGCTTTGCTTTGCGTGACTATTCGAGCAGCTTGTTGGTATATGAGCATGAGTCAGTGCTCTTGAGTCTGCTGTTCGAGTAGTTGCGCCATCTTCTGTTTCAGTCTCCATCTCCATTATTATTATTATATACATAGATAAACAAGGTATTTTAAAATACCTTTTTTTTTGGGGTAGATTAACAGTGAATATCTTGTCATGTAATTAAATGAATTGGTCAATTTGTAAGTCAATTTGATATGAGTTAATGATGGTTTTTAAAAAATACCATTATCTTTTTGTCTTTTGAGTCAAAATTTAGCATATCTAAACTACCAAAAAATAAAAAATAAAAACGTGAGAACATAGATTACTGGAATAAATAAAAAATATATTCATTCCAAGAAGCAAACTTTTCATTTTTAGTAACCTTTTCTAGAAAAAACATTTTTAGGAGTAGCACGAAATAACATTGCTATTTTGTTTAGTTATATAGGATCTATATTTTTTCTTATTATATAAAGTACCAATATGGATTATAGTGTTAATTTTAACCCAAATAAATTAACACTATAATAGTACTAATATGGATTATATTCGTTTTAATAATTTTTCATAAGCTTTTCGCTCTTATATTACACTTTTGAAGCGAGAAGCCAGAGTTTTTGGTCGGGTCAAAGAACGTTGATCTGTTTTTTCATAGGCCTTCGTGCTACAATCCTACAGTCTTGGAACACTGCTGCAGCATCCCCGAATATGAAATCTATGGTTCCCGTGATATAACAATCACGGTAGAACTGTCGATGCTAGTCAGCGAAAAGGGTGTCTTGGTAGCCATCTATTCGGCATCGATATATAACAGTAGCATGTGCATTCACACGGAGAGCAACCGCCTGTTCCTTAGCCGGCCTAGCTGTATTTTGGAATCAAATGTCTATCGTCATAAATTGTTTAGCGTGAGTCACTGTCATTGTAGATTTTATAAAATTTTCAATTGACCATTATAATGATATAGAAGAAAAATAAAAATATGATACTAATATATAGAGAAAATGTATATTTTACCAAGCGTTGCAGATTCCTTGATGGAGTATCCATCCTTGATGTTTAAACTGCCAGTTAGAAGAGTTATGTATTTAGCGTCGCCTATGAGCATTAAATTTGTCTTTATTTTCCCAATTACAATTGTTTTTTTGTAAACTCCTCTCTTCAAATAGATGGTAAATCTTCTCTTGTTGTTGTCTAGTACGACATCAACTTGTTCTTTTAGCATTGTATAGTTTCCGGTCCCGTCTTTGGCAACTATTATTCTGCGTTCATCTTGAGGACCTATAAATTTGCGAGAGACTTATAAGGGAAAAAAATCTTGTCTCACAATTTCCAACCCACGTGTGAACTATATCCCGACAACAATGTCAAAGTCACTTAAAATGTTTTCGCCTAAATTTGCTACGAATTTGCTAAGGAATTGCTAGGAATTTGCGAGGGAAACAAATCTTGTCTCACAATTTCTAACTCAAGCTTGAACTATATCCCGACAACTATGTCAAAGTCATTTAAAATGTTTTCCTCCAACTTTGCTACAGATTTGCTAGAAAATTGCTAAAAATTTGCGGAGGGAAACAAATATTATCTCACAATTTCCAACTCAAATTTAAACTATATCCTGACAACTATGTCAAAATCATTTAAAATATTTTCGCTTTCGCCTAACTTTGGTACGAATTTGCTAGGGAATTTTGCTAGGAAATTGCAACCAAGTTGCTAGGAAATTGTAACCAACTTGCTGATGAAATCATATTATATAAAAGTATACAATACTTAGTTTCTATACGTAAAAAGTGATGGCTTTTTCACCTATTTTTAATTTTGATTAAGAGGTCAATTTGTTTAAACAATATTAGGAAAGAATTAAGGGGCTAAGAATGAATTAACAGATTATACCAAATTACCAGATCAAGCTTACTGATAATAATAAAAATTTGTTCTTCTTCTCTCATATTATCTATTACAAGTATACAAGTATTAACTATTTACAAGTATACAAGTATTAATTATGTAAAGCAATAATGTCTCGCAAATTGTGTTACGTTTTATCATCCACAAAGAAAAAAAAAATTCCTTTCATAAGTCATGTCGAAGACCATCAATAATGATGGTCTTATGGTTTAAAATTTTCAATGTAGAACTAAATAAATCTGCATTTGTTTACCTTTATGAAGATAGCACACTAGGAGGAGTCTAGCTAGTAGTTAGGAGGACAAAAAACAAAAATAATATTCCATAGAGTAGTTGGTGGCGCTATAAGACCAAAGTGATGATATTCAAGATTAAGTCAAGATTAAGTCATGAATATCTTGTTAGGTAATTAAACAAATTGTTCAATTTGGGCTTAAATAAAAGCCATCAAGTATATTATGGAAAAATTAAGAAGGTATTGTTTTGAATATTTCGTGACTGATGAGGATATGAGTGTGTTTGTGTGTGTGTGTTATCATCTTCATTAGTTATACTCAATGGATATTTTTATTTTTAACTAATATAAAAGTTATTACTAATTGAATCTTACCACTTCACTAACTTTTTTTTTTTTTTTTTGCAAATAAAGAATTAAAAAAATAAAATAAATCAATCTCATGGGGACACATAAGGTGTCTCAAAGGATCTATAATATCTTTGGGTAGAGATTAATCTTTACTGTATACCCAATATTATTTTCCAGCTAATTAAAGACTCTTCCATATTTTCTGTGTTTACTTACCTAAACTAAAACCATTGTACAGAATGATGTTCTTTGCCTAAAGCCAAACCTTAAACTGCGAAGAAACGACATGTTATAAGTTTACGTTGAACAACAAATCTCGTAACTACTCGTGGGCTGGTGGTGCAAGCATGTGATAGTGCATTAGCATTACATGTGTTCGAGTAGTTGCCTCTGTCCAAACTCAGACTCAATCTCATCTCTCTAATTTCTATTAGTGGATGCAAACGAGGTATTCTTAAATACCTTTCTTTTTATATAAATTCTGTTTTGTCTAATCTTTTTTTTTTCTGGGTCTTCCAATTATATAAATATTCTGTTTAAATTTCACTATTTAAATTTAGTTTTCAAAATTTAATTGAAGAATTTACTCCAACTTAATAATTATTTATTGATTAAATTATCAAAAATTCCAAGAGGTAAGCTCAAGACTAGTTACAATATACAATTCCATGATTAATAATCGGTTTTCTTTCTTCTCATCGTCTACAAAAACTTATGTAATACGAATTAAATTTATTTAATTTTCTTTTTCTAAATTCTTCGTCTTTCAAATAATAAAGAGACCGTTTAGTTAGTTCCATGAAAACTCTTTTTATTGATTTTTTGTTTTGTTTCAAACATTTTCACACTAACAACTTTTAAAGCTGATAGGACAAAAAAATAATAATTACCCCATACCCTTTAATTTTTTAAGGATCTAAACAATAAACACCACCAAATAGAACAACACAAAAAAAAACTAATCAATAAAAAGTGTGATCGATAAATAATGAAAACTTCATATTGAGCCAAGAAAGAAAAAAAAATGCTAATCATATTACAATCTGAACCTATGATGATTTAGAAAATTATGTATTAAACATGCGTTAAAACTTACAAAGATTTGAGGTTTTAAGAATTATGAATTGCATGAGTCTTTGTTCATACTTTGAAATGTGTTTTTAATTAATCATTAGTTATCATTGGCTCAGGAGTGGATTATAGTGATACATATATGCTAATTAATTTACGTATGGATAAATACTAAACAATAAGATGCATGCACTATAACATTGCCTTGTATACATCGGTTAAAGGAAGAAGAAGAAGAAACTGCAATATAAAAAAAAGCTTTGGTTGCTTTGCTTAGTGCGACTATTCGAGCAGCTTGGTGGTATGTGAGCATGTGTCATTGCTCTTGAGTCTGCTGTTCGAGTAGTTGCGCCATCTTCTGTCACAATCTCCATCTCCATTATAATTATATACATAGATAAATAGGGTATTTTATAATACCTTTTTTTTGTGTGTAGATTAACAGTGAATATCTTGTCATGTAATTAAACCAATTATTCAATTTGATAGCTAAAAAAAAAGATTATACAAGTGAGCAAGTGAAAAATTTGCTTAAATTTGTTTTGAAAAATTAGTGACTGATGAGAATGTGAGTGTGTGTGTGTTAGGATCTATTTACTTAATATGGAAATGAGTTTTGATAGTTGTGTGATTTAATTACCTGAGCTATTTTACAGAATGATGTACTTTGCCTAAAGCTAAACGATGAAGAAAATATTATCTTATAAAGTTTACATGGAACCACAAATAATGCAACTACTCGTGGTCTGGTGGTGCAGCCATGTGTTAGCATTTCACGTGTTCGAGTAGTTGCGTGTGACCTTGACCAAACTCAATGTCATCTCTCTAGTTTCTATTAGAGGAATGCAAATGAGGTATTCTTAAATACCTTTCTTTTTCTGTAAAGTTTTTTTGTCTTATTTTTTTTTTTCATTTGGTCTTCAAATTATATTAATTTCAGTTTAAAATTCACCTTTTTAAATTTAGAAAAAATCATGAATTTACTCTCTCTCTCTCTTTTGGTAACACTAGTCATGAATTTACTCTAACTTAAAAATGATTTGCTAACTAGATTATCAAAAATGTGGAACTTTCACAGCTGATTACATTAATACAATCCCATGATTAATGATCCATGTTTTTTCTAATCGTCTAAAAACTTGTCTAAGTAACGGATTAGATATGTTATTTTCCGTTTTCTAAATTTCTTTCAATTGCTAAATAAGACCATTTAGTTAGCTCCCTAAAAACTCTATTTATATTTTTTTCTTTTTTTTGGGCAATTGATATTTTTTCTTTTCAAGCATTTTCACAATAAAAAAATGTTTAAGCTGGTTGGCCAAAAAGAAATTAATTTCTACATTCCTTTTAAAAAAGGGGGTCTAAACACCACCAAATAGAACAACAACAACCAAAAAAAAAAGATTAATCCATAACATATGTAATCGATTATAATGTTAAGTTCTTATTGAGCCAAAAGAAAAAAAAAAAAAACCCAATACTAATCAATCAACTAACTCAAACCCAATATATAAGAAGATGAACTAGGTAATAAAATGAGACAAAAAGCATATCATATAAAAAAGAAACTGGCTGCACAGTGGCTGCAGTCGTTACTCTCGGCTCGTTGGTCTAAGACATGGTGTGAGTTAGCACCAGACCAAGAGTTCGAGTGGAATCGACTGCATATGATGATGATAAGTGATGAGTGATGTGATGGTGTTGAAGCGTTTGTCGTTTGATGTCAACATCTGAGGTACTTTTAAGTACCTTTTTCTTTTCTTTTTTTAATCGCATCGGTAAAGCCACGTGGCCAATTTAACCAACGGTAGAAACATTCACAATCCAACGGCAGAGACGTGAGCACTTCTTTGTATCACACACATCCAACGGCTCATTTTTATTACTTCTTAACTAACTACTAAGCATATAAATTTAAATCATTTGTATTCATGAACTATATTGAAAAGTTATAATGTTTAACATTCATTTATTATCCACAGTAAATATTACTTGTTTTTAAATTTGTTGGTAATTTTTGAATTACTTTTTAATTTACTATCCACAGTAAATATTATTTTAATATGCAAAAATAACTTAGTTCAGAAAATTTTAATATAAAATGAACGAAGGTTTTTTTTTTAAATCGCTAATTTAATATCATAGCAAAAAATATATAAAAAAAGGTACTGAGAAACTAAAAGGTAGCAATAAAAATAAAAACTGAAAGAACACTAATTTCAAGATCTATCTATATTTTTTGTTATCTAATAACCCCAAAAAAAAAATGCTACAAAGAAACGATTAAGCTTGAATCTTCTTTAGACCGTGTAAGCAACAAGAAGAGATCATACTATCCTCAAAGATCAATTCCACCCTAACCATAACCGAAATACCGAGATGGAGTTTTCAGAGCGAATTCGTTTTATTGACCATGATTAGGCCAAAGATGTTGGTACATTTGCATCTGATGAGGATGAAGAGGTTGCTGTTGTTGTTGTTGACCTCCATAAATCCCATTATTATTATTATTATTGTCACGGTGCATTGCTGGAGAACCGCTCTCGTTCTCCTCTGATGACTCGCTCGATGGCCCTTGAGAGACTGATCCAAAGTTCAACATGTTAGCAGGCGCTGAAGCCGGTTCAGGATTCTGTCCGCGAGCATTGTTGACGCCACTTTGTTTAGGTTTCTTTGCTTCCGTAACAAAGCTTCCCACTATGACCTATTTCACATCATGAAAGCTAATGAACATAAACTGATTTGAAGCAAATGAATATTTTGATTCTAAGCAGCCAAAGTATCTTCTGAAATCCGATACAATAAAAAAGGCTAGCCTCTGCAACAAGAGTACATGTTCTGTACCTGGACTTGTGTTGCAGCTACCAGCGAACCAACTACACTGCCACCTACAATCCGGCCATCAGGTCCAGCCAAAGAGACACTCAAGCTACCACTTCTGTTCATGGAGCCATTTACCTCATAATTCAAGAACGAGCCTGAGAGAGTAATAATCTCAAATCGTCCCTGCAGAAGAACACATATATAAATCTCAAAACCAAAGACACAGAAAGACTAAAGCTTAAAACTAAAGACCGCAAAAGAACATAATTTTATACCTCATAAGTAACGATTCCACTAGATTGAGAAGCTTGGCGAAGCATCACTCTACAAACTGCACCACTTGCAGAGAGAATACATATTGTTCTTGGCCCTTGATCCGAAAAAGCCATCACCTTTGACGCAATGTCCTGAAAAAATAGTAAGCAAACATACCAATTTAACAATAAAACAACATCCAATAGCTCATTATTCCATCTAAATTCCTCCAAAGTTTTCTGATTATCATGAAACAGTCACATTTTGAAATTACAAATACAAAACAACAAACACTTTACCTCTCCTGTCTTCACTTCAATGACATGAGGTGTAAACCCTACTCCTGCAGTTCCTCCTACTCACATACACACACACAAACAAAACAGAACAAACCCATCAAATTAATTGCATGTGATCCAAAACATAAAATGTATTGAAAGATTCAAACTTTAAGATTCCTATTCATACCTAAAGCATCAAGCTGTTTCTTGCTAGAACCAGGAGGTCTTCCTCTGTTACGTTTAGCAGGTGGATCAGCAGAGTTCCCATTTCCTCCTCCACCACCACCACTATCTCCAACACCACCATCACCACCACCACCGTAAGAATTAGAAGCGGCGGAGAGAAGAGGAGACGTCGGAGCTAAGCCTAAAGCAATGCTACCATCAGGAGTGTACTTCCTCGGCCTACCTCGCTTCTTCTTCGCTTGTGGTTGATGATTTTGATTCTGATCCTCGATCCCAAATCGCATCGGCTGAGAAGAAGGCGATCCATCACCAAATCCAAGAGATTCAAGGGTCTTCTGATCCATTTGTTGTTGATGAAACGTTTGAGATTGTTGTTGAGGAGCTAGATTGCCAAAAGGAAGACGATGATGTTGGATCGATTGAGATGTGGAAGTGGGAACCATCAATGCAGCAGCGGCGGCGTTAGGGTTACGGTAATGAGACATTAACATACCAGTTTGAAGCTGTGACGGTGGTTGTGGTGGGATATCTCTGGAATCCATTAGAGAAGAAGAAGAAGAAAGAAGAAAGAAGAAATCAAACTCAAAGATTGTTTCTTTCGGCCTAATTTTCGTAAAGGTTGAAACTTTCAGTTTTTTGTGAATTCCGAGAAAATAGAAAGCAAAAATGCGAAAACTTTGTGTTTAAGCTAAAGCGTGTGAGCTAACAACTCTCTCTCTCTTCTCACACACATACATACAGAGCTAGTCTCTCGAGTTGAGAGAGAGAGAGAGAGAGAGAGAGAGAGAGAGAGGAGGAGAGAGTAGGT